TGTACTTCTTCAACATTACTGTGAAGAAGATTTTAATGAGTTGGAATGTTTGTGTCCCAAATCACCCTGCTGGTGGCAGAAGTAACGGAACAGCTGCTGACATTTTACATGTAGATGGCTCCTCAGTGACTGAGCACTTAATTAAAAGTGGGGATCTGAGGGATTCAGAAAATTTCATGATTACCATTGAAATACCAAATATTTAATTTCCTTTTCATTAGCAAGCTAGAATTTTAGGCTAGTATCTTTTTGGTTCATTATAACTACATGTTATGGATGTATTTAAGTTTTTTTTTTATATTTAAAGTGGGAACACTTACAAACCAAATTATATCATATTTCCGCAAACATGTATTTCACAACAGGACTAGAAAGCTTAGGAATTTGCAAATACATAAAAGATTTTAGTTTTGAATTAAGTCTTGGTCACTGGCAAAATAAGTGCTTATGACCAAGTGGTAATTTCCTAGGCTCAGACTGCATGTAAGCTGGGAGTGCTGAGGAAATGTAACCTATGTCTTTGACAATGTGTTTCTCTTTTGATTTGAAAAGTACACGAAAGATATAAACTCAAGAGCTCTAGTTGAACACCTTACTTTTAGGGCCAGAAAAACCAGGCCTAGACTTCTGCTGCTCCTCATTGCAGTTTGATTTCCACATTCTCATCGCTGTTTCTGAGGATCCCCTGTTCACTTTGGGTTTTTGTTTGTTTGTTTCTATTTTTGTTTTCTTGAACAGGGTCTCTGTAAAAAGTTCAGGAAGACCTTGAGCTCACTTTATTGCCCAGGCTATTCTCTAACTTGTGACAATCCTCCTGCCTCAGCCTCCTGATGCTGGGATTATAGGTATGAGCCACCATGCCAGTTTTTTTCCACTCATCACTTTGAAGAGCTTAAGAAGGTGAGCTACCAAGGCCACTATGGCCAGTACTTTCATTTCCCTTTATATAAAACCTGGTAAAAATACCTTCAACATGTATGGTGATGGTGCTGATGAACTAAAATTTCTACAAAAACAACTCTGGTGGCAGGTAGCAGGCTGTAACTCAGACACACAGCTACAGCTAAAAGCAGAGAGGTAAGAAGATTTTATAAACAATGCGTGGGTGTGTGAGTGTGACAAATACACTAAATGAAGGATATTTTGAAACTGCCTTCTGTATTTATTACTTTAAATATTAAAATGTAATTGTTGTTTTGAGTTAAATAAAATAGTAACCTGCAGCTCAATGCCTATTTGTTCATGGATCCAGATTATCCACAGAATGGTTCTCTCCTACCAGGTGCTATGCTAGGAGCCATGATCCATCCATGAACACACAGACAGCCGTCTCCCCTCAGTACATTTCCCACAGTGGGGGGATCCTCAAGTTCCCAAAAATGCCAGAATGCATGATAACTTACTTCCCTTACCAAATTTCCCTTAAAATCCATCACCTGATGGGAACCTTCAAAGCTAAGAGCACCACAGCTAGCTTTTCCTCTGCTGGGGTTCTACTAGACCATGGAGTTATTAAGGTTTCTTGAATTTAAAATTTTTGGATTTTGGTGAGGTAAAGTTATTGACACTTTTTCTGTGGCCAGCTTTGTTTGGTGGTTGTTTTCGTCTCAAGAAAATCCCACCTACCCCAAAGATCATAGATTTCTTTTTAGAAGAGATCTTCCAAAAGTTTTTAAATTTTTCTTTTCGTATTTAACAATTTTATTCCACTGGACTTGACTTTGAACATAGTGTGAGGTAGGGATTCTGTTTAAAGTTTCCCCAATATGTCTAAATTCTAGTTGTACAGAGATCTGTTAAACAGTGCACTCTTTCCTTGCCAGGTTTATACAGCCATTTCTATCACGTATCATGACTCCACACCTGTGTGGATTCAGCTCTACATTTTCTATTCTATTCTATTCTATTCTATTCTATTCTATTCTATTCTATTCTATTCTATTCTATGATGCTATTTATCACTGGGATTATAGATTTCTTTAAGTCTTGAAGCATTTATCACATTGTTTGTGACCATTAGGATAAATGGCTTGTCTTCTGTCCTCCTTGTAATCTCTTAAGACAATATCACTTACACTCATATTTTACTTAGCCTCTAAATCAGTATTTCTGAATCACAAACTGATTTGCTAAATACAGGATGAGGTCAGTAGTGATGCTGATTCATTGCTGTAGTCATAAATATGCCTCACCCCAAATCATGACCTGAACAGAACTTGGTTCACATGTACCAATGATCCATGTTTCCTTATCTGCTGCGCTCTTAATGCTCTGGCATATGGTGTCCTGCTCATCGGGGATGAACTACCTTTTTAAGGACTAGCAAATTCTTAGAAATAGCAAACTTTCCACATAAACTAGGCAATCACTGATCCCCCAGCCACCTATTCCCTTAATCTATCTAAACACATCAAGTCAACAGTCTGACATTATCATCTCATGGCCAGGTATGGGGCAACCACAGCCAGCCAGGCCCTGTGCTCTGGAGCCCACTGAAATCCCTCCTAGCAGCAATCCTGCCTCACCTCACACATCCTGTGCAAATGACAATAAAGCTCACTGGCCAAGTTTTCCTCCCTCTGCTTCCTAGTGGACACTGGTGATTTCCCACAGGTTCTGCTTCCAGAGACCTGAGAGTCTAAACTTTCTTCTTCATGACTTTCATTTTGTGTCTGCAACCGTTAACATATGATTTTTTAAAATCTCAGGAGCATTAAAAGAATGAGCAAAAAACTTAACTAGTATTTTCACCAAACACGAAATGATTTAAATAGGCAAACCAATATAGAAGTAGACAGCTAGCCAGTGATGAAGGAACTTAAGATTTTAGAAATAGTTTATTATTCTAAACGTTTGAAAATTGCTAGGGTTATTCAAGGTGAATGGATGGTAACTCGAATTGTTTGATCACTGCCTGTCATAAAGATCAGGCTGGCAGGAGTTTTATTTTGTTCAGTTAGAAAGAAATCATTTTCTTAAGAACAGAAAGTTAAACTCAGAGCTGTGATAATCCTCAAGCCTTATCATATTACAGTTTGTCCTTTTCACAGATGACAAGATGAACTATTGAACTGAGCATATTGATTCTCCACATTAGTATTTCAAAGAAGAACTAAGAATTTGGAGGACTTAATAACAACATGGAGTACACCTACCGAGTTACCTCACACAAGTGTATTAAGTTGAGCTGTCCAATGCATACTATCTCTGAAACAAGGTCAAAAGTAATCTTCCCCAAAGACAGACAAAAGAAGTAATCATCTAATTTTCTTTCCTTTCAATAAAAATAATTAAACCTGGTTCATGCTTAAATACATCCTACTTGTGGAAGATTTGATGTTGGATCACAATGATGAGTTTCTCCTGGGTAATCTGTACACTGGGCTAAAAGAAGCCATTTGTTCTATGAATGTATTACTAATTCTCAAGTACTTCAAAGAGCTCCACAGTTGTAATTTTAACCATAATTTATTAAAATAGGACAGATATAGCACTGCCCTGGGAGTCAAAACACTTTGGAAGTGAGTTCTAACTCTGGTACTTATTTTCTAGAGCAATCACATCATTTCTCTGGGTCTCTATATCTTCATCTCTAAAACAGGAGCGGTAAGACTTGGCCCCCCTACTATGCAGAATCAAAGGGGGAACCTCAAAGTTCTTTGTAAACTGCTAAATCCAATATAAACTGATAGCAGTGCTAGTTGAAATAATTTTCTATAAAGAATTTTACCCAACACCATAGTATGGATTAGTGTTATGAAACTTTAATATCATACTATCAAGAATTATAAAAATTTTGAAGACTGGTTAAATTTTATACCACAGTGAAAAACAAAGTTTGCTTGGTTTAAAAAAATTCATCTGAGGTAAAACTGTAGCCTTTAATTATACTCTAAAACTGATCTTCAGCACTGAGTAGCACTTTTTACTTGCCATGCACGCTCTGGTCTGCTGCTGTTTCCACATAAGATGGTGGGCACAAAGGTAAGTGGCCATGCAGGGGGCCGTGCCTGCCCCCACGCCACCTGGCTCCCCCACTGTCCCAGCATAGAAAGACAAACGTGAGCTCCTATATGCTTCCCTCACACTCAGCAGCCCCGTTCCACATGGGGAACCTGAGTGTGTGTGCGTGCATGTGTGTATTCATGGGTGTGTCCAAAATCCTGTATCTGCTCATTCATGCCCCCAAGAACCCTAGGAGGTGGCCACTGTTGACTAGGACAGTGAAGACAGAAGTTGATAAGCTGAGGTCATTTGGTGGGGCGTGGCAAAGCCTGGATGAAGACACAGAAAGGTTGCTATGTTACCCAAGCATGAATCTTCACAAATGCATTACTTCAGGAGAAAGCTACAAAAAGTACAGAGTATGACATCTTTTTTCCTTTTTAAAGAAGCAAAACTAAACTATACATTATTTGAGGACAAAGATACATTTGGAAAAGTTAGAGGAAATCAAAAGTGTGATTATAAACACAAACGTGGGGAGTGGTCCAGGATGTTGGGGAAAGAAGGCCTGGGGAACCTCACCAGATTGGGTGTTGTCCTGCTTCTTAAATCGGGGGATGGTTGCCCATACATTTTATTGCTATGACCTACATATATGCCACAATGTATGTTTATGTACCCAATAATATCACTAAAATTTTAAAAATACTAATCAGTAAGGTATCCAAACTCCTTAATGGATTCTGGATTTATGACTAAGCTGGGAAAATTCTGTTTGCAGAGCAGAACAAATGGTCAGGGATGGCAGAGACATGACACAAATACACTACCCTCCATGGTGGGCCATTGTCACAGCCTGCCTGGCTGCCTCCCATAACTGACTCGTTTCGGGCCCTCTCCCACACAGAGCTCCAGGAACTCAAGACAGACAGAGAGCAGGTGGTTGGTGCTGGCAGTCATCAGCAAAGTGCTAAAGGGTCTCTGGAGTTCTCCAGCCAGAACTCTGGGACCTCCCAGCTGCAAATGCTAGTGACTCATTCTAAACACTCTGGTACCTGTGAGATGTGAGGCATCAGCAGGACTCAGCTGTAACCACTGCCGGGCATCAGAGTCAGCCACAGTGTCCGTGGGTGTGCTCAGGTCAGGGTCCTCCTCACACGCCTGCCAAGGGGTCACCAATAGCTCGGCCTCGCTGCTATAGCCCAGAGCTGTGTCACTGTTGGCACTTTCACCTACACAGGAGAAGGAACACAGTTTGAGCCCAGCCAGCTGGTGGCCAGCAGGTCACAGTTACTGACAGCAAGTAGCTGAACACTGACAGCTGGCACAGGAGGAAAAGCACAGCAGCAGAACCTGCAGAACCAGTTAGGGTGCAAGCGGCATCTTGGTGGGATGCAGGGTGTGAGAGACACCCCATTCTCTACAGCACTTGAGGAGGATTCTCCTCATGGTGTCCTCAGTTACCCCTTGTACCCCAAAGATTAGAGAAAGCCCCCAAGTTCTTTACTGAGACTTTGTCACTACAAGGTGAGGGCACGTGGAGGAAGACAGAATAACCAGGTCCACCACAAACACCAGTTCACTCTGTTGGCAGAGACTAATGATGCCACATGCTTCAAGCTTGCTGTGTAGACACACAGTAAACCCAGGATGAGTCACCTATGTCATCTGGGGAGGAGGTTCCCTGCTACTACAGATTTTCCACAATAGAAATTCTTTCTTTTAAACACTACAACATTCCAATTTGTCCTAAAATAACTAGGCTGAGCTACTAAGACTTCTATGGCTATGTGTTTAGTCTGATGCAAAACAAACCTTCCATGATTGGGAGTCCCCACTCATGTCCCGACTATGTATTATGGATCTGCATACCTGCTGCCCCAGCCCTGCTTTCTCATCTGCTGCCCTTCACCCACTCAGTAGGTCTCAAAATTCCCTTCCACAGAGCTCTAAACCGCAGAGGGAAAGCAGAGAATGAGGGGTGCCCTCTGTACCCCAGGAGTGACCAGGCTACTGTGAGAAGGTGAAAGCCTGCTCCTGACTTCAGGAACGCAGAGGATGATACATGGTAACCTGCTCCAGGATTCAAATGCATTTCACTGTAACACATTTATCCCACAGACTTGAAGGCACTTCCTTAGCTTGTGCTCCTGCCTGCAGGAACAGTCTGAAGTGAGAGCTTTCTCTTCTGGGCCTGTCTGCTTACCCAGGCCCTAAGCCCCTCTGTGCCTCCCACCTAGAGAAACACCTCAGACAGAAAGACAGGCATTTCAGGTGCAGGAAATTTCCTAGAACATTTTTATGAACTGGATTAACCTTACTTCAGCTAGGGTTCCAAAAAGAACAATGTACTATTTCACAGCCATGTCTCTCTAACGGATAAGATATCCCTTGAGTTAAAAAGTAAAAAGGAAGCAAAATGTATCAGGAACATGGAGTTGGATGACCATAAACTGCATTTCCTGGAACTTACTTTTCTGCCTTTCCCTACATTTTCCTTGTGTCTGCTGCAAATCATCCTGCAGATCCAATTCAGCGGGGCTGCTGCTTCTTCGAACTAAGATCTTGAGACAAAAAAAGATGTTTTATTTATTACAAGAAAGTTAATAGTTTTAACTGACTATAAAATTCCTATCCACATTTCTAAAGGAAAAGAACAATAATAGCAACATAACACTTAATGATGTTTTCCATTTGAAGGGTGTATGTTCAAAAATTACTAGAATTAAATTATAAATTACTCAAGATCTGAAACTTTATGTTCTCTACAGTGTCCACTGAAAACTAAACAGATCTACTAGAAAGGACGCCCAATTACATGGAAGTGATTTATTTTAAAGTTCTGTTTGTTCCCCTAGTCAAGCAAACATGTGCTATGAACTTAATTCTCCATCAGACCTCAGCTACCTCCAGAGTGTACAGGCAGGGAAAGCATAGGCCCTGCCACACCACTCAAGGCCCGAGGGTGCCTTCCTGGTTAATATGCTACATGTGTCTCCACACTGCTTCACTTCTGCTAAACACCAAGGACTGAGAAATTGCAAGGCAATCTGCATCCTCTAAAATACCCATAATTTGTTTGCAAAGACAAAATATGCATAAATTATACAAAATTACTATGTATAGAAGCAAAATATGTGAATAAATTCTTCCTGAAAGGTATGCAAAATGAGGCGTTACCTTAATCAGGTGACAGTTACAGGAGAGCTGCTCAAGGAGGCAACAGACATGAAGTGGCAGAGGGAGGGCAGGAGGGGACTCAAGGCAGGAAGCAGAGTGGCAATCAGCAAGTTCTACGTGCAGGAAAAGCAGCAGATTGCAGCAGGCCATGCCGGGCAGCCAGGTGCAGAAGAGAAAAAACAAGAAGGAACCGGGACCTTCCGAGAGAGGCAGCTGCTGGCAGGCCTTCAACATGAGATTTACAACTTTCCACCTAATATTGACAAACGAGCAACTACATGTTCCAGACAACAGTTCAGTTAAAATCCTAACTAGAAAGATGGGGCTAGCTATCATCTGTGGGATGAGGGCGAAGAAGAATATGGCTATGGAATCTCACGGGGATTCAGGAATGAGGGAGTAAGGATTCTGATGGTGGCAAAGGAGAAGAGAAATAAGAGAAAAGCTACAGAATGACAGGCTAGAGCTTATAATCAGGTAAAAATGGATTGAAAATAAATTAAAAGACAGAAAGGCATAAATCTAGAGGACAAAGAGAATGACCATGACAAGCAGGGAGAGGGAGAGAGGAATGGAAGGAGGAAGGAAAGAATGAAGAACTTGAGAAAGGTTCTTCTCAACTTTTTAATTTTAAAAATTAAAAGATTACATAAAAAATTAAAAATTAAATAAAATTTTGATTTTTATTTTTGGGCTTAATATCTTAAGAGAGTGTACTACAAATAGTCAATAAATAAGCAGAACTGTGTGACTTGAGATAAAGAATAGAATAAAGCTAAGAATGAAAATGTGAATTTAAAATTCTCCACAAGAGAGTACATTAAAGGCAATAACAATACAAACCCCCCACCATACACACACAAAAAAACCCAACCCTGGAATCCAATAAACCAATTAAAAGAATGAATAGTGAACAAATGAAAAGGGGGGGGGGACCAAGATATATAATTAAAAGACAGAATAACTACTAAGCCAAAGAGAAGCAGGATACAAATAAAATATTTAGGAGACTAAATGAAAAACCATTACATACCCTTAAAGAAGGATGTTATGTAATACACAAGCCACACAGACATATACCCAGATTTCCTCAACTGCAGGGCAGAATGTAGCTCTTCAGCTTTGGGGTGCACAAGACAAAAAACATTCTCCAACTACAGAACCAGATCCTACATAGAAACTTTGGTTGTACACTGAGGCTCAGCCCTTTAGAAGTCATCAGAAAGCAGGGCAAGGAACTAGAGCTATCACAGGGGAAATCCTGTATTACCACTGCTGGTGGCAAAAGCACCCAGGGAGCGAGATTCCCTGCCTCCCAGGAGACACAAACGCAGGCACTATGCTAGTGAACCTGCCCAACTCCCCCAGGTGTTCTGCAGAGTAGGGTCCCACAGCTAGGAGCTCACAGAGACCACTGAACTCCAAGAAGCAGGTGTCAGAGTCAGAAACAGCAAATGCCAGAGGTGGTGGCCTAGGATTTCAGATAGGTAAATTTAGAGCCACAAATTGTAAACATTTTAAAGAAATAAAAGATGAGACTCACAAGAGAATAGAAATTACAAGATATATTTGAAAATAATGAACTTGAACTTTGAAGCAAAAAGGAAAGCAAGAGAAAATTTAAAAAGTGGCAAAAAATTTTGAAGAAACTTTGCCAGAGATATTTCCAGTGGCAGACACATCCATAGGCTAGTGGCACGCAGAACATACCCAAAAGGGCAAATGGGTAAACTGAAAGGGACCTGCCACTAAGTAGGTGGTGTGACCTGAAAGGTAAGGACAAGAGCAGCAAGGAACACCTAAAGTGGTGGACAGAGACTTCCTGTTAGCATCAGTGAGAGACAAAAGGCGATAGGAAAAAAGATTCCATCAGAAGGGGTTGGAAGGGAGAAGAAGCAGGAGACCTGTGGTAGTAAAGGCTCTGTCCAGGGAGGCAATTACCAATGAATCAAGGCGGAAGTACCAAAATGGAGGCTTACACATCACAGAATAGCACACACGAGAGAGAAGAGGATCAACAAAAGAAAAATGATTTCCATAAAGAAGACCTGGGACAAACAGTGACTTATGGGGGAAAATGAGATTGGATTCCTACTTCCCTCCATAAACAAGAATCAGTTCCAGGTAGATGAAAGACTTAAAGTGTAAAGCAAAATGGAAATGTTTATAGAATAAATTTAAGGTATACTGTTATTGCTGTGTAGTTGAGATTTTTTTAAAATTCTATAAGACTCTAACTACAAAAATGTTAATACGGAATATAAAAATGAAGAATTTCTGTTCATCAAAAGACATCATAGAAAGAATGAAAATATAAGCTATGCTTTGGAAAATGTTTTCTACAAACATAATTAAGGCAGGATCAGGATCAACATTCAGACCACAAAGACCTAGAACAAATTAAAAAGCAAAGATGGATCAGCAGGTAAACAACAAACTGCATCAGTAGATATTCCACAGGTGAACACACACAGCCAGTCAGCATGGACTGATACTATGCCTTCTTAGTAGTCTGAGAAAGGATACTCTATTTTCACTTACTTGAGCCATACAAATTAAAAAACTGCTGTCAGAAAGTGTTGGTAAGAATGTGGATGAATGGGAACCCTATAAATCACTAGCAGAAATGTAAACACAACAACCACTTTGGAAAATAGATGACATCCTGCAAGGAAGAACATATTTTTATTGTATGATTTTAGTAAATCATACAATTAGTTCCCATTCCTAGGCAGCCATCCTAGAGAAAACCTTAGACATTTGTATCTTGAGACACATAAATCTGCCCATCCACAAAAGAATGAAAAGAGAAATGGAATGCATGTATTCATAGTGGCATATCACACACTGGAGAAAACGTGATGAGTTACTACCATATGGCATGGGTGTGGACACATCACAGGGACAGAACACCCAGTGCCAGCAGAGAATACGTTCCTAAAAAGTCCAAAAGAAGAAGGAACAGAACATATTGTTTGGAGATGCAGAAATCACAAAGTCTAGGGTAAAACAAGGAACAGGCACACACATGGCCAAGGTAATGCCAGTGGGGGAGGGGGCCCTGGGGGAGGGGACAAGGAAGGAACCTAGAGGCCAAAGAAATGACATGGGAAATATTCTGGCTTTTAAGCTGGGTGACAAGTCTGCAGGTATTATTTCACTGTTGAAAAACAGAATACACGCAGGGAACTGGTATATGCCTTTATAAACATAAAGAAATAAACCATGTTGGTTCTTTCAAACAGGGAGGACTAGGAAGAGGCTTTCCCTTTTTCTTTCATATCCTTATGTAACATTAAGTGTCTATAAATGTATAATACATTTTAATCACATGAATAAATAGGGATTATTTGCATAAGTGAAATGGCCTTTTTATTTTTTTCTTTTGTATCTAAGAAACAACTACAATTTGTTTGTTTTTAAATTTTTTTTTCTTTTTTACAAAAGTAACACAAGATCTCTGCAATGTCCACTTATCTGGTAACTCATACCCAGTGGAAGCTATTATCTCCATCAAAGTCAGGAGTGGGAAATCTGAAAAGCAAGCTTTACAGGCAAGGAAACCAGCTTGAACAGGTAAAAGAGCTATGTTTACACCAAGAAATAAATGCTACTTACTGTTAATTTTTAATGTTTACAGCCTGACTATAATTTTACATGAAAAGTAAATAAAACTTACAAGCCTATAATCCTTTCAAATGGAGAAAGAAAATTTTTAAATGTTACTGCCACCAGTAAATTCATTTATTGTGCAGTAAACTGTTTACATTTAATGACAAATGGATAATGTTAAAAAAAAAATCTTACTGTTATTCCTTCATGTTCTCTCTTCACCTGGCCTTTACTGTCTTGACTAGGCTTGGGGTCTGAAGAAGTCAAGTTCTGTGCAGTTTCTACCTTTTGATCTAGATATTCAGGGGGAAAAATTGACAGAAGTAATGTGTCATAAGGTATAAATACAAAAACAAATGTATATAAATATAGCCCCACCACTGAGCTAAAGCCCCTGCCATAATAATAATAACCATCATCACTAACACCATTACCATCATCATCATCATCATCATTTTATACAAAGAGCAGAAAATCTTTCAGGTAATACATTCTTTCAGGTGACTTTTTATTGCATTTTCTTATTGCAAGAAGATTTCTAAGAAAACCTCACTGTCCTGTTGATAGACCAACATAACCGACCTTAATATTAAGAAACACGAGACAACCTGGCAATAAAAAGGTAGGCTTGTTTCTTGATTACTCATGACACTGAAAGGGGACAGTAAATATGTGTGATACTGGACATACTGCAAAGACATGCTCTCACTGTGAAATGCACTATTTGCTCACTATTTACCATCTGCCTCTTGGCTTTCCAAACTCTGTTGTTGCTCAAAGTTGTTGCAGAAGCTGTGAATGCTATTAAAAGCTGTGTTTGTTTTGGCCTGGTGCTGTGGCGCATGCCTGTAATCCCAGCTACATGGGTGGCTGAGGCAGGAGGATCGAAAGTTCCAAGGCCAGCTTGGGCAACTTAGCGAGTCTCTGTCTTAAAACAGAAAATAAAACAATAACAAGGCCTAGGGATGTATCTAGGTGGCAGAGCTCTTGCCTCGCATGTACAGTGCCCTAAGTGCAATCCCTGTGCCCCACTAAGAGTAACAGTGATTCTTTTCATGCTCAGCAGAGTCTGCAAGTTCTTGGTGAACTTTTCCACAAATGTGGTCCACTTTCTACTCTCCTCCTCAATGCCTCAGGCTCTGCCCACAGCCTTTCCCTCCTTCCCACAAACTGCCTTCCTGTCTTCTGCCTTGTCTGCTGCTCCTCCTGACCTTGCCAGGAACATTCTCTGACTCCCTTATGTCAGCCACCCAGCTCCCTTCTAGTCCTCAATCACCACAGACTTGAAGGAAAAGGACACGTGTATGTACACACAATTTAGATAACTTATATACTAAATAATGAAAATGTTTCATTGCTAATAATCACATCCTTGTAGCCACATTAAAAAATAATTCCCTTGAAATAAACCCATGCAGAATAAACATTGTAGAGAGCAATCTCATCTCCAGCCCCAGTCCCACAGCTCAGCCCTAGCAAGTGAAGACCCCGGTACCCTGAGACGCATCAGGGGCCCTCGGCTCAGGGACGTCAGACATGCTGCTGCTCCGGAGGACCTGCTGCTGCCCCGTGGGAAGCAGGCCCGGGTCTGCCACAGGGGTGCTCTCCAGCTGCGGATTCTCCTCCACTTCTGTGAGCAGGAACACAACACACATGGGTTGTTCTCCAAGACCTTGAGAAACTTTCACCACTTTAAACAACTGATCAGAAACACTAAGTTTCAGGTACCTTCTTAGAATAATATAATGTTCACTTACATCATAAGTTTCCTACATGTTAATACGAATATTCTACTCTAAGAACACATTTTATTTTTAAATTCTATTAAGCCTTCATTTTTCCAAAGTGAATGGGGAGGGAGGAAGAAAGGCAAAAATAAATAAATACATACATACATACATATAGTAAATGGTTGAAGCTGCAAATCATTTGAAATGTTAGGCCTAAGAAGGAAAGAAAGATCCAAGGATCCAGGAAATAGAAAGGGTAATTTACATGTGAGGAGAGCACACATGCTAACACACACACACACACACACACACACACACAAAGATGACATAACAGGAATTTTAACTGCATTCTTCCCTTTAGTGGACAGGCACAACTATCCAAAGCAAACTGCTCCTTAATGGCTTGTACTTAGCACCAACTGAAATGCTGAATTAATCATTAAAGTTTGAAAATGAGCCACTGGATTTTTTAGAGAATCAGTATAAATACAAAATAAGACAACCAAAGATGAGTCAGGACTACTGTAAGATGCTGACTATGCTCCCAGAGAAAAGCTCCTTCCTCGGTGGGTCCTCAGGTATACAGTGCACCTCAGTCTGTCGAAGCTTGGAACCGTCATGTCACCCTCTCTAGCGTCACAGCTGCAGGACTGCGTCACCTCCAGTCCAGCTAATTTTTGCAGTTCACCAATGTAAAAAAACTGTGTGATACTGGACATACTGCAAAGACATGCTCTCACTGTGAGTTTGCAGTTTACCAGGATAGAGCAGCCTCTATCCTGTTCCCTAGTGCCATTTTTTCTCTCTTTCCCAACATCTTTAGCTCAGGGCCTTATTACACAGCAGTGCACCCAGCATCAGGGCACCCCTCCCACCCAGGCACTGTTGGCCCCCCACTTTACTTATCATAAGGCCAAGGGGTTCCATCTGGAGTCCCTCCTGACACTCTTACTGCACAAGCCCTAAACGTGCAGGAGGCCTGCCTGGAGGGGAGGGGCCAATGGCACCTTATTTGCTAATGAAGAGCAGCCTCTATCCTGTTTCCTAGTGCCTCTATCCTGTTCCCTTTCGCCCTTTTTTTTGCCACCCTCACATCTCTTCTCTACAAGGCCCTCCAAGAGGTCTCTAAAATGAAGGTGCATCCTTGCTCTGGAAGCCCCGAGTGGCTGCCGCAGGGCACACAGCCTTTCCTGGTTTCTGGCCACGACCCCAGGCACTCTCTTCTCAGGTCCTGACGGGCCTACCTGTGCTCCCCCTCCTGCTGTTCTGTCCCTGATGCTGGCTGCAGCCCTAGCCCTTATCCCTGCTGGGGGCCCCTCTGACATCTTCCTCTAGGCCTTACCACAGGACCCATGAGAAGGCCCTGCCACTCTGCACCTTCCTGGCACCACACTCACGGATGTCACCACGAACTCTGCACTATCTAATCATGATAATGGCATGTTTTCCAAAAACTGGAGGCACAAAGTTGCTTCCAGGCCTACAAAGTGATACCAGAAATTAAACCCAGGGCCTTTATACTATATCCCCAGCCCTTTATCGTTATCATTTATCATTATCATTGTTATCTTTTTTCTTTTTTGCTTTGAGACTAAAGTAAAAAGACTAAATTGCCTGGGCTGAGCTCAAACTTGTGATCTTTCTGCCTCAGCCATCCAATGGCCTGGGATGGCAGATGAAAACTTCAGTTCCTCTAAGCAGAGGCTAATCAGATTCGGCCCACGTCCTCTTACCCACTGTGTTGTCCACTCGTCCCTGAAAATGGAGACTCACTGCCAACAGGCAGTGAGCTTAACCTGGACTGGGTGCCAAAGCCAGGGGTCTCCTGAACAAGAAATTATACATAGGATGATTCTTTTTTTCTTTTCTTTTTTTTTTTTTTTTTTGGTACTAGGAATTGAACTCAGGACCTTGTGCTTGCCAGGCAGATGCTTGTGCTGCTGAGTTACATCCCCAGCCCCTGTAGGGTGATTCTGAAGTTAACACACAGGATTTTCATGAAGGATTACTGTTATATTTTTTTCTATCAAAACAAAAGTTCTATTTTATAGTACCCTGGAGAGGTTACAAGATCTGAAAATCAGGAAATCTGTGGATGTTCCTGATTCAGAGCACAGTCTGAATACAGCTGCTGGTAGAAGTGAATGGGAGGTGAGGTGGCAGGAAGTGACAGGCTCACGAGCCCCCCACTTCCCCGAGGTCTGCGTGCTTTCCCTCCCACAGCCACAGGGAAGCTGACGTGTATGCCCACGTCCAGGGCAGGCCCTTTCTCCAGTCTCCTGCAAGAAGCCCCCCTCCCATCGTCTTCTTCCACTACTAACTCTGCTTACACAGACACTTCCACCCTCTGGGAAAAGATATTTGCCAATCCATAATCAGCAGTGGGAGCTGAAGAGCTTCCCAACCTTCTGAAAGGCGACTAAGTAGCCAGTAGCCCCTTTCATGGTAGTAGGACGAGAGGGTTTTAGTTTCTTCAGCTTGATGCCCAAACTGGTGGATGTTAGTTCCAGGCCCCTGAGCAAAACAAATACAAGTGGGACCAACACAGGCTATATCTGTCCACAGACGCAGAGCATCACCCTCTGATAAGACTGAGGATGGTTGCAGTACCGGGGCCTCAGCATAGTAGATGGAAAGAGCCTGCCCCAGCCATTGGCCCCTCCCCATCAGGCAGGCCTCGTGCACATTTAGGGCTTGTGCAGTAAGAGTGTCAGGAGGGACTCCAGATGGAACCCCTTGGCCTTATGATAAGTAAAGTGGGGGGCCAACAGTGCCTGGGTGGGAGGGGGTGCCCTAGTGCTGGGTGCACTGCTGTGTAATAAGGCCCTGAGCTAAAGATGTTGGGAAAGAGAGAATTTAGCATAAACTTATACCCAACTTGTAAGCGTACACTTCTAGGCCTTTTTCTGTCTTTACACCAACTATGCACTCAATATTTGGCTTACATAAAGGGACAAACTAGTGACAGGTACTCTGACAAGGTCCCTCTGTGACAGTGCTTGGGCTCCCTCTGCTGGCACCTTATTTGCTAATGAAGAGCAGCCTCTATCCTGTTCCCTAGTGCAATCAAATGTCAATACACAAGATTCCCTGAGAGTCACAGCAGAAAAGCAGCGATCTAAGTCATATAATAACAGCAGGCTGAAGCTTGGACCTGACTCATTGCCTGTCCCGGACATTACACAATTCCTGTTTGACCCACTTCAAAGAGATGAACTCTAATTCAGTCACCAATTCATTCCTCAAAAGCCTCACTCAACTAATAACCCCAAACTTTAAAGCACTAACTTTCTCATTTCTTGATGGCATAGATGATACAATACTATTACTAAACCACTGCTTCCTAAAGCTCCATGTGAAAGAGCTAAACAATGATCAAATAAGGATGACCTTGCTCCCTCTTCCCACTGACAGAAAAGTCTGCACAGTTAGGCTAAGTGTGTAAGCTCATCAGTTACTTTTTTCCCCAAACATGTTTTTCAAAGCAATTTCACTCACCCTTAAGGCTTCCTTAATCAATCTTATTAAATAGAATAAAGTTCATTCTTCAACAACCTAAATTCGTGTTCCAATTACCCTTGGTACAAGGTTGCAAAAGCAAGACTAAGAGTATAATTTCCCAACTTTTCAACATCACACACGAAACCAGTTCAGGCTTCAAAGCACAATAGATGTGCAGCCACTCAGCATCTTGAGGCTTCCCCGAGATGACGGCTTCCCAGGGCCAGGCAGCTCCAGTCCTGCCAGAGAGCACCTTCGCAGAGCCCGGAGCAAGGTGCGGAGCCAGCAAGGCAGGGCTCCCCACTGGGACCTGAAGCCTCTCTAGGAGGGAAGGTAGCTGGTACTCTGCTACTTTCACAATGCACCCCAACAACCAACAGAACCTGCCGTCCTCACAGCCTGTGAAGGCAGTGGACTGATGCCCCGACTGAAAGGTGGCTGAAACTGCGAACAGCTAGAAGTGTTCCCACAAAGGAACAACTCCCAGACCACCTCCTAGGGCTGTGCATGTGTGTGCGTGTGTAACACAGTTATTCACATTAATGGAAACATATGGCTTCCAGTCTCCCAAAATACAAACAGTTCCTCTCCCCTAATACAGATAACTCCCCAAGTTCTGCTGCTGCCAAAGGGTCAGAATGACACATCACAGTGTCTGTAGGGCAATCTGTCTTTCTTGCTTATATAACTAAAACAATTTTGGTGGGTGATTACTAACATAGATTAGAAATAAAAACATGAAACACTAAGTGAAAATAAAATTACCATGCATGGAGATGGTAATAAACTTGTGGCCAGAAAGGAAAATTTGAAGTGTTGGGTGTGGTGCCTATCTGTAATGCCAACACACTGGGAAGCTGGGGCAGGATGATCACTGGTTGGAGCCCAACCGCTGGAAAATGTTAACTTAAAAGAGACTTTGTCTCAAATATAAGAAATAAAAAAGGGCTAGAGATACAGCCCTATGGGAAGGCAGGAAACTGAGTCCAGGTTACTGACAGCACGATTTATCTGCATGTTATCAGCGAGAGGCTAGCAGGATGCACTCAAGTGGAGCGACTGCAGCACAAACGTAACCCTCCACAGTGCCAAGCAGGGCAGGGTGTACGCACTGACGGGGCTGCTGCATGCTGCACATGGGTTGGTCTCCTAACAGGACAGTCACAGAGGACAATGGCACCCTATTCTCTGTAACAGAGAGCATCTGGCACAAGACTAGGAAGAAACTCGCTGCTGCAGCCATCTGAGGAACCAGAGCAGCAGACTGGTCTCCAAGTTACTGTGCCACGTCCCTCCACTCTCTGTTCACACCTGGAACAGGGACCACAAAGGAGGAGAATTAGACCCAGCTGGGCCAGCTCCATTTCGTGCTGTTGCCCGGTTCCCTGCTGCTGCCTCGCTGCAGGCTGGCCTGGGCACTGCAGGGCATTTTGCAGTGCCCATAGCTTCCACCCACTGAAAACCAGGGTAACCACCAAAAACACCTCCAGACACTGCCCCAACTTGGCCCCAGTCAAGAGCCACTGTTCTAATATATTTGATTTCTGTTGGAACCATGTAAACACGTACAGGAACCAGAATCTGAGTACATAAAACACAAAGCTATATGAGAACAAAATTTCCAAAATGAATCTATTAATAAAAGGAAGAAATTTTTGTGAAAAAACATTCCAGAAAAACTAGTAAAAAAAAAACTTTATGGAAATAAAATACACTATGCAACAAAGTTTTTCATCAAGAAAAATCTTTTTGGGTATGTATCAACCAAATAGGGGGCAAAATTATTTAAAATATTTTACTAATCATCTCAAATGAGCAGAACTTTTTCAAAACCAAACAATCAAGCAATTAATGCTAATCAGTAATTTAACCGATGGTGACTGTTTCTCCATGTACCAATCCTGCTGTTTTATCCTTCCAGTGTTTCGTAAAGTCTTCTAAGAAACTAAGTTCTCTGTTTCAATCCAAATAACTTCTTTCCTCATATTCTATAAATTAAATAACAGTGTTTGACATACCCATCAGGATTTATGCTTTAATTTTGTTTTGCCAAACCACAGTGTAACATAATTTAGTGCCACAGAAAGCCACAATTCTATTACCTCCAACATTAAAAAAATACTAATGTGTCAGATTTCTGAAGTTACAAATGGCAAAAAAAATTTTCCTTCTTTAATAATAAACATTTAGTCTATCTTAGAATCACTGCAAAATATCTAGACACAGATGTAATGACTGACTGTAGAAAAGTGAATTCTTCCTTTGCAGTAACTAGGTCAAAAATTGTTTTGGTACTGTAACATCATTTTTTAAAATAAACTATTGTAATAACTACATATGTATGATATACAATGTGTTGTCTTGATTCATATATATACTGGATAGTAATCATATGGGTAATTAGCATATGTATCACTTTAGACTTTTATCACAGCTTTATCATGAATCCATTCAAAACCCTCTCTTCTAACTATTTTGAGATATGCAATCATTACCGTAAACTATATTCACCCTGCTGTACCATATGCTATAACATCTTAAAAAAAAAAAAAAAACAATGTGTAAATTGTACCTGACTAATTTTAGTATGAGCTGGCTAAATTTCAAGGAGATCATATATTTGTCTTGGAAAGTAGCACTTATTACCATTTTTTTACTCATGTTTATTATCACTATGATCTGCATAAACTAGTCACTTTATATACAGTTATGATTTGTTATCTATAACAAGTCTTATCTTCATAATTATCCAGAATTTTAATTTTTTTTGGAAGACACAGCAAGCATTATAATACTGACATGCTCCTAATGTTTGTAACGTTTTTTGTAAGAATCCCTTTCTGTAGGCACGCTCTCCAAGACAGCATCACATTTCCACTATTAAAACCCATGGGCCTAGAACAGCCTTCTATTCTCAAAGAGCAGCAGGTTCCAGAAGCTTCTGTTGACCATCTAACACCTACAGCCTTCTATTCCCAAAGGGCAGCAGGTTCTAGAAGCTTCTGTTGACCATCTAACACCTACTACACATCTCACCACATAAAACACAGTTAGCAATATCCACTGAGCTAACGCAGCATGAAGACAGGCAGCGTGTGAGATGTGGGAACAGCGACAGAGGAAGGAAGGCCCAGAGGACATGAAGAAGCCCGGGGGCAGGAGGGGACACACAAGGTGGCATTACAGTACCTGACAGCCTGTGGGAGCAAGAGGAGTAAGAGAGACCAGGTAAGAGAGCGCTCACGGTGTGGAGCAGGAGTGGAACACTTTTAGCAGCAGGCAAAGCCTCAGAGAGGTGGACACAGTTGCTGATAGACTGGCTGCGCTTAGCTTCCGGGAGAAATAAAGTGACATCATGTCAGAAGCATATCAAGACCTTTCACTGCTTTTTTATTATTCTATTTCTGGGCTCCCCGTACACATTTAAAGGAGGCTGTGGTAAACCTTAAAGATAGTCAGTATAGAGTATAGCATTTAGTATCAGGTTATGTAAATACAGCCAACTTTCAGCCAGTCACTCTGAGACAGCAGTGGACAGTCCCAAGGAGTCCATTCTAGTCTAGTGCCCTCTGCACTAGGCTTTTCCTTTTTTCTAGTCTGCATCAGAGTTACATTTGGGCTGTTTACTCAGACAGACATTACAATCCCTTTTACTCACTGAGGGTCACAAAAACGCCACAGTGAGAAGAAAAATATGCCTGAGATGAAAATTCTTCCATAAGAAATAATTCAGAAACTGGTTTGCTGAGAGATGACTGTATTCAAAAGCAAATCTTTTGTAAATTAAGATATTCTAAAAGCTCAAGAACACCTGACAGCTACATTGAACATTAAAAGATGCAGTACATGAAAACAAGGCTAAAAATCTCCATAAAACATTTTGTACTATGTTTCATGCTTATTAAATGTGTTTTCTTGATACCAATTTCATAGTATTTTCTACTATGCTACTATTCTACTATGCTACTAGTAAAAGAAACATTTGAGCAAATGCATGAACAGAGGAAAAAGTACGTATCATATACATATACGTAAAACCACAATCTATAAAATCTATTTTATCCTTATACATATAAAGGTTTATTTGTTGTATTATTTTTATAGACTTCTATTATTAACATGAAATGAAATGAACTACAAGTAACAGTGGCACAAAGCTAGGCGAACTTTTTACTTTATTGCCAACTCCCTTTGCCTATTAGAATCCCCAGTCACAGGACAAACCACAGAGTAACCACAGTATCAGCCATGCATGGAAATGATGAGTGTCATAAAAATGCCAAACTGGCTCACTTCAAATTTCCTACGAGATCTGCACACTTCTCCATATGTCAGAGACTTTCATTTAAGAACTGCTCTAAAGTTTTCCTGATAGAAATCAAATGATTCTTCTTCTATAAAATATGGAGTGCTTCATGTGGAAATTAAGATGTGCTCTAGTCACTCGCAAACTTTAGACATCTAAATTCTGACCATCACTCATACCCAGGAATAGGACTTTCCTTTACAGCTGCTTGCCAAGCCTCTATAGTTGTATTCCAATGATCTCTCAGTTAAATTCACGGTTATTTCTCTACTCTGCAACTGCATAGTTTATATTTTAGGTTTCATATTCATTATCTCTCAAAGGTTATGTTTCCAGTTTAAAAAAAAATACAATTCACTGCTCCAGGCCTGGCTTATGGTGTGTAAGCATATATTCCCCAAAAGCCTTGACCTGACTGTAACAGTGTTTCATCTGCTAGGAGCACTAAGTGGTGAGACCTGGCTGGCTGAACAGTGCTGAGCACTTTTAAAACACTGGTGCCTCTACCACCACCCATACCAGCTTCTGTGAGAATGGGGTGCAACATCTTCAGAGGTCATATTAGCAAGGAATAGCACATGCAGCACTCAGTGTACAGTAATCTGCTGTTGCAAACATGTGAGGATAAAACACAAAAAGTGTTTGCATTGGCACTTTTACTGTCATTGTGATCCAAGAGTGGCCTGAGATGGGGAAAGTTGGTCACTCAGACAAGGTGGTAACTTTTGTCAAAAACTTCTAATTTCCTTCTGAAGGATCCAGTGATAGAACAAAGGAACTGGAATGATACAGGAAATGATAGAGGAAATTGGGGAATGAACATCCTCAAAGACTGCCTGGTACCAGGAATGAGCTCTCTCCTTAGAAGTAGTAGGAAGGAAAGCAAGAAGACACAGAACAGGCATTACAGGTATGCAGGGTGGTAATTACCACCAAACACTCTGGCAAGAATCATGAGGTCTTTGGGTTAAGTACATTTTCATTAAAAACTCCAACAGGAGGGGCTGGGGATTTAGCTCAGCTAAATCCCGATAAAAAGGAAAAAGACAAAAAAGACAAAAAAAAAACCAGGATTCTACACTATCTCTATTAAGCTTTTAATAAAGCATTGTAAAATATGGTAAGCTTGAATCTTTGTTTTATGGTCAGAAAGCCTTATGATTTTCTGAAGTCAACATGCTGAAAGGCAGTTACAATTGCATGGTATTATTGCTGGGAACAACTACCGGAAACTGAGATGTAGTTGTTTTAAACATAAGCTGCAGTCTCAAGCCACTGCAGAGAAGAAAACTTTGTTCTCATTAAGCACTGGATAAGATCTTTAAAAGACTTTTCATTTATGAGTAAAACTCAGTGAAGCAGTAAAATCAGCTAATTCTTGGTCAAGTTCTTGTTAATTTGAACAGGTTGCAAAGATAACATCCATCACAGGAACAAAAAACTCAATTTTCCAAAGAAGCAAAAAGCAAAAATGTCTCTATCCAGCCCTGAAAAGTGAGTGTATCCTCCTTTTTCTTTGCTAGAATGGTTACACGCTCTTTTGAGATTGTGACTGGTTTAACGATGACAATAATGTGACTAATGGCGCATTAGGAATCTAGTTTCTTCAAAAACAGCCCTCTATTTCTTATACAACTGTCTCACTCATTGTTAACATCTCAAGGTGTTTTCCACAATGGAAAGTTTAGAGGATTAAATATCAAGAGCTGAGATCTGAAAAGCAACTAGAACAAAAAGCCAGGATGGAGAAATGTTTCATCTAAATTCTGAGTAGAATTTTAAAACATTTTATTCCTGTAAGATGCTTTTAGCTAACAGCCAGCTTTCTCAGACTGATCTGAATTATCACTTACCAGTTGCCTTTTGCCGGACATTGTTTCTGGCCTTCTCCACCCCAGGGGCCCCAGATGTGGTAGCACTCCGGAACCGCATGGGCTCGGTCACATCCGGGTGGCTCCGCCAGCTAAGAGAAAAGGATCTCCCCACAGTGGTCACTTTCTGAGACTCCAGAACACAGCCTGATGGAGAAGACGTGAAAACAGTCTGAAAGCTGAATTCATCACCTTTCCTGCATGCTCAGCAAGGGAGCACACGGGATGACAGACAAAAGCAGACCCCATTTCTGATGAGGAAAACTTCCCTACACCACAGTTCAGGACATCAGTGACAGGCTGGCAACCTGAAAGTCCTTGTCACCGAATAATCTGCACCTTCACCATATTCACTTCAGAATACAAAAGAATACGTTAATAACCCTTTCTCAACACAAGAGAATGAAGTCAAATGAAGTTACATGACTGTTCTCAGGACACTTCCAAAACTGCTATTATAAACCAAAACCTCAGAGAGCCTAATGTTAGAACAGTATTGCATCCTGGAGACCCCAACTCAAAGTCTCCTTCACAGATCCCCACAGAAATCTGACCATAAGCATAATAGAGATGTGGTCAAAGCAGCAACATAATGAAAATTTATAAATAATACAACACTTTATTTTAGAAAAACTCCAAAAACAATACAGCATTGCAATCAGAAACTGACCTTCTCTGGCTGTCACATTATTCTGATCAATTATTTCAGAGAGGTCAAGAACCCAAAATACAGGAGGGCAGAGAATTAGAGACATGGGCTTGGGCTCAGACAGGATGACCAGAGGTGCCACCTGCAGCCTGCTTTCACAGCCAGTCTCTCAGCCTGGGTTTGCTGCTGTCACTGTCTATCACTTGGAAAGCAAGTGTTTCCATAATGAATATTTAAATCCTACTTTAGGAGCAAACAATCCAAATTAGAAACACGTATTATGATCACTATTTAAATAATTTATTCTGTGCCACTGTGAAAAGTGTGTTTACATGGAGGAGGGGAGAGAATATTGCAGGGTGATGAGTGTGTGCACGTGTGTATGAGTGTGTGACATCGGTGGCCCCTCTGTGGCGCACAGCGTGAAATGCTGCACAGAGGCGCAGAGACCCATTTCTCCCTGCTTGAGACTGGGCCTACCTTTGCCTCGCTGCCTCTTCTCCTTCTGCTCACTCAGCTTGTCCAGAGGCAGGTTTGTCATTTCGACTCCATACACAGTTCGGGCCAATACCGCCGTCAGCGAGTCCATGATGCTGGCCCATTCGCTGACAAGCTCCTCCCACTCGGTGAGGGAGGACAGCACGCCCAGGAAGTCATCCCAGAGCTCCCGGGAGATGAACACACAGAGGTTTGCTCGGATCCATGCCACCATGAGTGTCTAAACCCAACCACACAAGAGAACCAGACAAGGAAGGTGTCATACTGGACACGGTATCTTGTCGCTATTATTAAAGCTTTAAAATGAAAAATACTTTTGGATGTAAATTTTCTAATTCTCAAAATGCCTTTGTTTAAGTGTGATGATTATTCAGTTATCACCATGCCCAGCGAGACTGCCTGGTACTGTTCCGGAGTGGCTCTGTCCTGCACACGAACTCCTTCCCAGCTCTCTAAGGGGCCCCAGCTATGCTCTGCCCCTCCTGCGGGCTGCCCTGAGAGAAGAAGACGAGGAGGGGACGCCCACGCCTCCCTGTCCACTCCAGACCCTTGCTCAAAACGGCTCTTCGACCCTGCTCAGCCTATTACCCAGCACCTGCCCTCAGCAAGGCAAGCTCCAGAGCTTCAGCATCTTAAAACAATCAAACACTTCCCCTGGCCCCAGGTCACTCCAGGAAGCCAACTTCAAAAGAAGGCAGTGGCTTACTCCTGGACCTCACCACCTTACCTCCCTGACTGCTACACACACACACACACACACACCCATGACTCCACAGAGTCTGTGCACGCAGCCCAGTTCATGCCCTGCCAACCCCCAGGCTCCCTGGAGAGCTGCACTCCTGGTCATGCCCAGGGCCTAGGTCCATGGGTCGCACACTCATGAGCCTGTGTCCTGCCCACATCTCCCTCCTGCGCCACCCCCTGGTCTCCCTGTCCAAGGCCCCCTCATTCTTCAGGTAGCAGTGGGGACCCCTATCTTCCACAGATGGAAAATGGCATACAGATGATTTTAGAGATAAAAAGAACTTTTAATATGAACACATGAAAACTGAAAAATATGAATCTGTCTATAATCTGGCAGGCTTATTCTCACCTCTAGACAGAGCATATTTAAAGTGATCTTTTAAAAATACTTCTATGTATTTCATGTTGACTACACTTTTTAAAAGGATAAAAACACAAAGTAGAACCACAATAGTTAAATATATCAAAAAACAAGATTTAAAATTCATTTAAGATCTGGTACTAATATGAATAATTTTTAAAAATTAAGAATCACAGGAAACAATTATTTATGAGTAGTTATTGAATACTTTTATTACTAAAATGTCAGCTTCTAACTATTAATTTATACACTGATGTTTTCATAAGAAATGAAAACCATCCTGATGTTGCAGTAAATACTAGCCTAGCAATGAGTATCAGTATGTCATCAGACAGTAAACATGACCTCAGCAGGATAAAACAGGGGAACACTGGCAACACGGCTTGCTCACAGGGAGCCCTGCGGACAAAGCTGGCTGCTGGGATGCAGCAGGAAGCCCTGGGCAAAGGGGTGCTCCAGCTTTGCTTTGCCGACTAATTGTAAGGCAAGGAAGAGACAATCTCTGGCGGCTATGAGATTCCCGCTACCGAGGAACACCCAGGTAACAGCTATAACCAGCCCATCAGCACAGCAGTGTGAGGTGGTAGAGGGGTCTGCACTGAGGCCAGAGGGCAGCCTCTTACACAAAATGGGGAAGCCCGCCTCATCAGTTATCCTGAAAAGGAGAAGGAAAGACAGATCCCAGACTGGGGTGTGCCACTCACCTGGCGTGCGATCTGGAGCCCTTGGTCCTGACATTCACTATTGCCTAGCACAGAATCTGTATATAAACGCTGCACCTCTAGGTGAGCATGGTATCTGCCTGCAATCCCAGCACTGAGGAGGCTGAGGCAGGAGAGGATTATGAGTTGGAGACCAGCCAGGACCACACAGTGAGACCTCAACTCAAAATAACTAAACAAATCTAAATGAATTTTTACCCTACTCCCCAACCACTGCCTACACCCCTCTGCTGCACTCTCAGGGCCTGACTGCCAAGCCACAGATGGCTCCATCTGGGAACAGCAGGTACATACTTTCCAGCCACCTTCAAGGTTGCAGTTAGCACAGACACATATTAAAATATCACTTCAGGCAATCACCGTAACTTGGGAAACATTTAAATTTCCATTATTTGAAGAAGTCTGTGCCAGGTGTGGTGGTACATCCCTGTAATCCCAGCCCTGAGGCAGGAGGCTGAGGTAGGAGGATTGTCATGAGATCGAGACCAGCCTGGGCTACAAAGGAAGCTCAAGGCTGGCCTGAACTGCATAGCAAAATGCTGCCTCAAAAAGACAAAAAAAAAAAAAGTTGTTACCCAGATTACCTACTGACAGAAAAAGATAAAATCTATAGAAAAATCAAAAGAAGATAAACAGAAAAAAATGATAACTTAAAACTCCTGTCTAAAAAAAAGGTTAAAAAAAAATGCAATCACCCAGCCACTGTGGACAGATGGGACAAGGGAATCCAAACGAGCACTTTCCCCACCTGCCAACCTCTGAACCATACCCTCTTCTTCTCCTTTCTGGATCTCACATGAGGACTTGGGAGGTCAGCAGATGATGTGAATCCCAAGACCCCACACTGCTGCAGGACCCCCGGGGAGGAAGGCATCCTCTCCTGACTGCGGATCAGCCACATTGCCTGGAAGTCCCACAGCAGAAGTCAGCAGCCTCCCTCTCGGACAACTGCAATGGCATCAGAGTCATACACATGGGCCCAAAGATGCAGAAGATCCATGGATAATCTGACGAGAGTTCTCCATTACTGAGGGAATTCCCCCAAATCCAAACCAACTCCAAACTCCACAGCTAGAGACTGAATTCTCATTTAATTCTACACCCAGTTCACTCTCTAACCCCACTGCACACAATGGGCAGGGCAGACGGCTGGTGAGAGGAAGCAGCATTCCAGCGCTCAGCTCAGGTCCACCTGGAGGCCAGGCCTGGCGCCTGGAAGGGTGCCAGCCACCAGACCTCTGTGCAGAGGAAGGAGAGCAGAGCTCGCATGTCCAGGCAGGCAAGGGCAGTGACCCGTGCTACTCTCAGTTAAGCAAAGGCGGGCATGGGTAAAATCCACACTCCATGAAGTAGGCAAGGCCACAAGGGTAAAGGAGAGCTACTCAGGAAGCAAGTCACCATATGGCCTCCAGCCCCCTGGCCCTGTCAGAAAGCCAAGATTATAATCGCACTAACTTATTGCAAGTTAATTGAACAGCTGGGTCTTCATTGTTACCATGCAAACATTTAGCTTTAAATAGTAACTTCTCTTTCTGCTGCTTTTATTTGCATGTGCTACCTGCTAGTCTACATTTGTTCCTTCTAGACAACTGCAAAAGGACGGCCAGGGTCCGCTCCCCACGGGTCAGCGCCTCATGCGCCATGCCTCTTCTTTTGCCCCCACCCATGTGCCAAAACCTTTATTTATGGAGGTCACATCTTTACACAACCTTTCACACTGCTTTCTTTCCAAAACGCCCCTAAATTCCCATCTCCTTGACTGTGGGCAGTGCTGTAGCTGATTGCTGTCCTGGGGCCTGAGTGTGTCACCCCCTTCCCCATCCCTGCAGGCAGCTATCAGGCTGACCCAGTCCTGCTCCCCTGCTCCCTCCCCGCTGCCAGTGAGGCACAAGAACATACAGTCCTCTTCCTCTGGCACTCTGCTCACACCCAGGTCAGCTGGTCCCTCTGAATCTTTGATATCAATCCTGCAGTTATTTGTGTCTCGACCACACTATCCTCTTCTGGACCACCTTCCTGGCAAGCAAACACCCCTGCCCTCATCCTCACACATGCACTCTCTCACACTGAGACCTTTTGCAGGCCTTGTCCACGCTCATTACCTCTACTGCCTGGCTCGCATTTTTTTCATCAGCCCATTCTCAATGGCGTATATCTGAGCCAGAGGTCTCCTGGCTACTGTCCTCCTCCTCTGATGGGCAGGGAACCCACCTCTGGCTCTCCTCCAGCTCGCTGGCCACCTTTTCTCAGATCTGGGCCTGGCTTCCTTCCTTCTGCCAGCCCTGGAGAGGCCTCTTCTCTATCTACATGTCCAGCCCTGGGGCTTAAACACAACTGCCCAGCATGCTGCTGGCACTCCAGCTTCCACCCACTCCCAGCTGCTATTTATCTTATACCTCTCCAAATCCAACTGCCCCTCCACTGTGGTCTTTGGCTCTTGTTACCCTCAAGTAAGGCAGGGGAAAGCAGATGGTGAGAGAAAGGAAAGCCTAAAAGCCCAGCATTAACTGCAAAAAAGTAGATCATACTGGTTAAGCCAGAGCTAAGAAAATTTCTAAAAATTCTATGTTAATTTAATATTACCTATTACATTCCAATGATTAACACTCGTTTGCTGTAAAATTTGATTCATCTCTTGCATTTGCAGTTTTAATAAAAAAGACTTACCCTAAACAGTAACCCTGCCAAGCTCTGAGCAAATGAGTCCTTTACTTGTTTATCCTTTGGCTTCTGCATGACAGCTTCTGTTATCCTGAGTAGAATCTGCAACATCTGCTCCCTGGGCCACCCAAAGTAAAGCTCAGATTAATAATTACATCTCCAAAGAACTTTACAGGTAAGAGAAACACTTTTCGAACTTCACCAACATTGATTATCATGTTCTATTCCAAAGTATTAAAGTTCTGTATTCTACTTATATCACAAATACCACATTTTATCAAAATAAAGTTCTACAAATATGCCTCCGAAGTCCACACCAAGAGACGGGATAAGAGCTCCTACCCAGCCTGACCCCCTGCAGAAAGGATGATGAGATGGTGGTGGGGCAGTGCCAGTACCCTGGAGATGCTCACCCTGGAGAACAAACACACAGCAGTCTTCAGCTTTGCACCCATGACCCTGCTTAACTTGGAGGCCTCTCCATCTACCTTTGTCACAGAGAATGAAGCTGACTTTCTGGTCTTGGTTCTGGGGAAACCTGCAGTCTGCACCACAGCACAACTAAGGCCCAGAGTCCTGGCGCAGGCAGAGGGCTGGGAAAGGTTGCCTGGATGCCAACAGATAATGCGCTGGGACCTGGAAGGTCCTAACAGCACCTCGTGCACAACTAGGCTAGGTGGTCAAGACATCACCGTCGTGGAAGCAGAGGCTCAATGTGAAAGTTCTCTGTGGTACACACAGATCACGGAGACAGCAGTTTAGGCTGACATGGGGCACTTTTTTTGTGTACAGCCAGGGTCCTACTCCAGGGTCTTACCTACTGTCTGTTCAGTCCCTTCCTGGGCTCCATGGAGACACAGTGCCCATGGTCTGTCCTATCCCCTGAGGAGGAGGCGCTGGCTCCTGGGCAGTGTCCCATAACCACCCGCCCAGCTTTACTGCTCTGTTTATGGAGGCAAAGCCGGTGACAGGGCAGAGCAAGCTGTCCAGTACAGAGGTGCTCACTCCCAGCTCCCTTCCACTTTGCTCCCATGTCTGCTTGCACCATATGTGACACTGCATCTCACCAGTCTCTTAAGGGTACAGTGACACAGGCGTGGCCACTGTCTTGGCCCAGGGCCAGCACTCTCCTCCACTTGTTTACTTGGCCCCACATAGCCAGGGGTCCTGGAAGTGCAGGGGAGTAAGGGTGACCCCATGGCTGGTGATGCAGGCCCAGTCTGAGGAGGAGATGGGGAGAAAAGGCAGCATGGGGCCAGCCTGAGCCCAGCGGCAGCAGATGGCAGCACCCAGTGTCACCACTGCCAGCTCACAGCACTTGAGGCTTTGGATGACAGGCCAATCATTCTGTACCAGCAGCTGCACACCATCAAGTGAGCATGGTAAGGAGTCCTGACAGCTGCTGTGTCAGGACCACTGCCTGGCATCTCTCTGTCATAGCCCTGCTGTAAGCCACCATCCCACAGCCCCAGAAGCTGTACACATTGCCTGTCCCTTTGCCTGGGGCCTGGAGAGCTTCTGGGAACACAAGCTGAGTATGCAACACTAGTGCTCAGGAGGACACAGCTGCCTCTCCTGCAGCTTGTCCTGGGATGCCCCAACTCCTGCCTCCCTCTCTCTCTCACCTGACTTTTGGTTCCTGGATGCACAACCTTTGACCTTTCCCCACCATCAGGGCTTCTGCCTCTGCCACTCCTACCAGGAACATTCCTGTGTGACCTGCCCCAACACACGTCCTGGAACTCCTGGACCCTCCCCAGCACTGAATTCCTCCCCACACTTTGAACTGCCTGCAGCTTCTGTGTGCACAATGCTGCAGCTTTCCTGAGGCAGGGTCTTGTCCACTCAACTTCCCCTGCACCCTTGAGGAGGTGTGTACTGGGGGGAAAGAAAGAGGTGCATGGGGAGAGAGGAAAGGGAAGCAGAAGGACTAGAGAGGGAGGAAAGACAGCAATCATCTAGTACTAAAATACATGAAAACCTCTGTCTGAAAAGCAGGACTATACCCTTCTATAGTCTACTATTTTTATGAGTATTTACAACTATTTCTATAATTTTTCTTTTTATATTTTTACACGGAAATTTCTGAATTATTACAAACAGTGCACAATGGTTCAATTTTATATCCTAGAATCTTCACTGAAATAAGATTATCAAAAATATCAAAATGCTATTGGAAGCATGGTTTACAGAACTCAGTTCTCCAAGGAAAGGAACAATTGGTACCACTGATATGGCAGCGGTCTAAGGCACAAGCCTCTCAGCTACAAGATGCCAGCACTTCTCCTTGCCCTTGACTCCATATCATCCCTATGGCATTTAACTGTTTAAATGGTCACCTGACATTCCCACTTCAGTACTGCTTAACAGCAATGTTGGAATTTGTAGCTTCAAGCCATCATTTTGATACTTGTGGTTTGTCAGGCCCACCCTTCCATGGCCTTCAAAAGGAAAGGTTAGACTCAGTGACCTGCAGCTCCTGCCATCCAGCCTGCCTGGCTGCCTGCCTGCCCACCAAGTGCATGCAGACTCCTGGCAAAGCTTCACTCTTGCTGACTCCAGGGTGCCCAGAGGGTGGTGTGGCATGGGAACTCCATGAGGAAGGTGCTCACCCACTGGTGTGTACTGGCCCAGGGCTGGTAGCTAGGAGTCCCAGAAGGGCACTCACTTGGGACTTCTGCAGCAGGGCTGGTGGGTCACAAGACAATGGGACAGACCTGAGAGGCACCTGATGGCAGAAAGTAATGGGAAGGTGTGGGAAGCAACTATAGGCTTTTTGGTCTGCTGTTGAGAACACAGAAACAAACCAGCAGGATGGTGCGTTCATAGTTGTTATGGGAGGAGGACAGGAAACATATACTGTACTGTTTGCCTTGAGGGAAATAACTAACAGAGAAACACAAAAAGAGAAAAAGGAAGGAAGGGGGTAAAAAAATCACAGTTTTATGAAGACACTGAAGTTGCTTTGTCAAAGTGAACTTAAAGCATAAAACTGAAGCAATAAAAACCAGTTTGTAGCATTTAGTGGTAATTAACCCCTACTGGGCTTACAACGAATGACAGTATAAAATAGCACACTACTTTCCCACAGAACTGCCTGATGACATTTAAAGTGAAAAAAATCTGCTATTAAATAATATGATTACTTAGTTTGAAGGTATTTTAAAAGACAAAAATGAAAATAAATGAACTATAAAAGTATTGGGTACTTACCTTTCTCATAATTCACAGGGAACTGTTACAAAAGACTATTGTCTTATTCTTAACTTTGTAAAACCATTAAGTAAATGGAAACTTTAATATTTTAATTGCGCAAAAACAGAAACATCTGTTTTACAATATAATTTGTAACAAACTTACCATGTCTTTTTATTCATTGTAAGCTCCATTATCATATGCCTAAAAATAATCAAAACGGCCTTGCAAGCATCAACTTGCTCTTTCAAGAGCACAGGAACTTCAGCACAAGGTTCCAGCAAAAATATGTTTGCAGCATTTGTCAGAAATACCTGAAAATCAGCAATTTTACATTAAAAAAATATAGCTAAAAATATACATTGGAACAAATCTTGCTTAAAAATAGTGTCAATTTCATCAGCATGTTTAACAGGGAAACAGATGATGCAGTAAGATACAAAATCTAAGTGGATTCTTTAGAGAAAACCTGGGTTCATAAAGGTCTAGATCATTTGCTGGCTACTCTGTGCTCTGCACTGGCCCCTTATGAGCCACTATCCTCTACCAGCTGAGTGGGAAAATGAGAGGCACTGTTACCGTTGGTGTCTGGATGTCCCCCAAAGCCTCATTCTGTCATAGGTGGATTTTTCCAGAGGTGGCTGGATCTAGAGTATGTGACGCTGTGGTTGATTCGTGATGCAATGCGAGGCTCAAAGGGTGTGGATGCTGCCTGCCCTGAGTAGCCTGGATAGCATACAAGGGATAATAGAGAGATGTGGTCATCCCTTGTTGTTTTGCTGCCTTCTGCCTGCCATGGACTGTTTCTCCTCTGTGATGTCCGTCTACTGTGCCACTTTGCCTTGGAGCCAGCTGATTATGAACCTCTATAAACTGTAAGCTCAATAAACCTTTCTCCCTTTAACTTCAGGTGCCAGGTATTTTGCCTCAGCAACAAGAAAACTATCTGAGAGCCCAGCTCTCAGGCAGTAAGCTGCTGCCTCACATCACTACTCTAGAGGAGGGATATGAGATCTATAAGGATGACACCTGTGGCTGTCAGCCTCAGGTATCCTGGGCTGCTGATCTGATAAGGATGGGTCAGCTTTGTCCATCTGAAGGCAAAGACCTGTAATGGTTCCCCAAGAGCCTCACACACTCATATTGTGGGGCAGGTGGTTGGATTATGGAGGCACTTGCTGTTAGAAGGTGGGGTCAAGCAGAAGCAATGGGTCACTGAGGCCATGACCAGGAAGAGTTTACCTCTCTTCCTAACTCCTCCCTTCACTCTCTCACCCTCCTGTCTGCTATGAAGTGAGCAGCTTTTCCTCTCACATACTCTGGAACCATGCCTTCCTCCTTTGGAGCCAGCAGACTAGAGACTGAAGATGTGAGCAAAATTAACCTTTCCCCAGTTAAGGTGTGAGTCTCAGATACTGTGACCCAGTGAACAGAAAGAGACTAGGGCAAGGTACTCTTAGGTGTCCTTGTGCTCAGTTGTATAAACAGAAAGCATGTGGTAGTAAACTCCCAAAACAATGTGCAGTCTGACACACTGATTAAAATCAGCATACTTGAAAAGCAAACAGGTAAACTAAAATGTTGAAAACATTTAAAGTTCTACTTTGCAAAACTAAAAAGAGATTATGTCATAATTTTCCAGGAAAGTTTATAGACCTAGCACTTGGGGGTGGACTGGGGCTAAGGCAGAAGGATCACTGTAAGTTTGAGACCGACCTGGGCTACACAGTGAGTTCAAAGCCAGCCTGTTATTACAGAATGAGAGCTTGTCTCAAAATACCTAAAAATATAAATAAATAATTCTCCAGGAGGGAAAAAAAAAACAACTACAATAGCTGACTGCATCAACGGTTAAGAATTTATATCCTTTGAGTATGAAAAAATGTAAAATATTTTTTAACTAAAGAGTTACAGCAGTTGCAGTGTAGTTTCAGAGATGATATACTAAAAAGGAGTAATACAAGTGATATCCTGAAGTATAGATCCTTTTAATTTAATCTATTTTGGCTTCTTCCATTTGAAACTTTTGTACATTCCCAGGAAAAAGAAAGTAGTCTTTGCTTTTTGTACTTTTACTTTTAATACAACAAGAAATTGCCAAATGCATGAATATTTATTACCTTACTGGTGTTAGGCAAAACAAAACAAAATTAGCTTGTCCAAACTGTCCTCATCAAAACAAACACAACAGAGTGTTACTGCATCAAACCTCCATTGGCCCCTTTTCCTATACACCAAGGAGAGGACCAAGGAATTGCACATATAAGGGGAAAAGCCATTTAAATCCACAATAAATGCTTTTCAAAACTGCAGAGCTGTCTTATGGTGGCAATCCACACAGAAGGGCAGTGCCATGGATGGAAAAGGCAGGGACCCCTCCAAGCACTTCTGTGACAGGGACACAGGCCCCACTTAAAAGTGGCACCAAGTAAAACCATCTGAATTTAAAAGTTAATTTCAAATTACCTGATGATTTTTAAAACGAGAAAGTTCATGAGTGCGGTTTAGTAAAATGCTCATCAGCTTAAAAGCCAAAAGATACCAGTATAATGAAGCCATCACCAGACAGGGACAGAAGCCTGGTATCACTGAAAACCGAGGGGCATGTGGGTCATGCCCAGCTCTCCCAGATCCTCACCTGGCTTCTACATGTGAGGCCTGCAGGGACACAGCTGCACCCTCAGAGGCGGGCTGGGGTAGGGCCAGCAAGCAAGGAGTGAGAGGTGCCCTGTTTTACTTCTGTTGTTAACAAACCTTTGTGATGTGGGGCCAGACAGGGAACCACCCACCCCTCGGTTTCCACTAAAAGCACGAGATCTAGAGAGGTGAAGCAGTGAGCCAAAGCTGCTCCTTGCAATGCTTCACATGCTATAGATTCTATTTTACCTGTTAATTCAGACAAACACCTCAAAACTACCACATCAGTCATTGTTCATCTGAAACACAGACGACTTTAAAGAGCAATATTGCTTATGTGGTTATATGATCACCAAGTTTATCTTGCAAATCAGAATCCAAATAGCTACTTGTATGTGCTTAGAAGGAGTTTTTGAGATTTAAATCCTAGACATTTTCAATTCACTGTATAATACTCCCTCTTCAAAAAATGGCAACCAGTTCTTACATCTTATTTAACTAGAAAATAATTCTTCCTGACAGGTGGTAAATTAGAAAGAAACCTCCGAAAGTGATGATAACTATCTCTTCCGCAGGAGTAAAGAAGACAACTCCAAACACACCTGCAGCACGGCCTGGGCCCCGGCCTTCACACTGGTGCTGTCCTCCTCGGCCACACACCCTCTGCTCATGGCGCTTGTGAAGGAATACGTGCGCCCCCAGCTGGAAGTCCGCTTGTGACCGGAACCGTCTGACGAGGCCTTCAGAAAACAACAATCTGTTAATGACACGGCAAGAAGTGTGTGTTTGCCTGCTGAACTCCTACGCTGGCAAAGCTCCACACAGGTATCTCCTGTCTGCTCACCACTCTACCTCCACCACTACAGGCTGTGGGTGTTGCAGGACGGGACCAGGAGTGTTTGATCCCTGGGGAGCATGGAACAGGGCCAGACACACATGGAGCCCATACTTACCCTTGTGCATTTTTGACTTCATGATTGACCTTTAAAATAACTTCACCAATATTGAAAGGTCAAAATTATGGAATTAATAGATATACAGTGGAAAGGAGCTGCTAGCTTTAGTCCTTTCAAATGTTTAAACCCAGTTGCTTACGATAGAGTCCAATGCACAAGGAAAGTTGGCCCAAGCAGTCTACATTTAGTTTCTTCTAATGCTATTTATTTAAAAACAAGTCAAAGAGAAGGCAGTGTCTTTTGAGTCTTCTCACACACAGATGTGTAAGTCTGGTGGTTTATGAAACATCTCTCTGTGACAGTGATAATCACAGCTGTTGCGTGCATGTGGTCCTGGGTTTAGGAGATGGCATCTTTCTGACACAGGTCCCACTGAAGTCAGCAATTGCAGAACCCTAACAAGGCTAAGCGAAGCTCTGCCTGGCCACATCCACACAGGGGGCCTTGATCACGCAGGCAGACTGAGCTACAACACACACTCAACTCAAAGGGCAAGAGAGGGGTTACCTCCTTTGCATCAGTCTCTGAAACGTCTAGTTTTTCAGCGTCTTCTTGAACGGTATCATTTTTATCCGGTTCCTCCATGAACACAGGCTTTTCCTGGAGAATCCATTTTCTGTACACCTGAACCACTTTCCTAGTTACAGCTATCTCACAGGAAGGCAACAGAAATGCCTGAAAGGAGAAGGAAACTCCTTTAACACACACACGCTTAGGCCGCAGAGCTGACACTTGCAATGACACTTCACTGACTTCCGAAATACAGAGGTCACAAAAGCACTGCACAAGGCCATATGTCTTCAAGTACACCATGCAGCCAAAGAGAAATGATGTTTCTTTAACTAGGCCAGAAAACATGACATGATTTGAAAATTATGTTCTGCACAATTTTTCTTCAAAAATCATCAAGCTTATACTTACACATGTATTTTAATTGTCTATATGAAAGAATTGTAAGGGCACATCTTGGCACTTGCCCCAGAGAATCCAAAACTGCTTGTGAGAAAAAAGATGCACTGCCACCCCCTGGGCCCAGCTGCACTGGGCTCACCTCAACCCCAGTTCCATGGCATCACGTGGCAGGAAAAGCTGGCAATTGCTCTAAGTCAGGGTTTTGCTAAGTAATTTTTCCTTAGTTTTCCTTTACCTTTCATTTATTTTCCTTCCCTCTTTCACTTATTCCTTCTTCCTTCCTTCCCTTCCTCCCTTTCCCTCTGCATCCCTCTCTGCCTTCCTCCCTTCCTTTTGACACAGCTTTCAATGTGTATCAGATACCACCAACGACAGGCACCAATGTTAACTGGAGCACTGGCCACTGGTCACCTGCCATATTGTGGGTATTTGTAGAAACTTTATTTTACCATCAAGTAACAACCTACATATTTGTACACACAACTTTTCACATACTATGATAATATCCCAAAAATATAAACAAGAACTTAAAGGGGAGATGCATTTGGCTTTTGCTTTCTAGGTTTAAGGGCTACTTCTGTGTATGAAGTGGGCAAAGGATAGGCACTCTGTATTCACGATGCTGTAATGCTTCAGCCAAGGACACTGAGCCCTGGGGCACAGGAGGGAAGGTTCTACAGTGAACACCCACACACTCATACCCTTGACTGGACCAGGAGTGTTTGTTTTATTTGCCTTATCACATATTTATCTGTCAAGCTTCCTTCAATCCACTTTTAGTTTTAATTCATTTTAAAAACTACAAACATTAGCACCCTTTATCCATAAATATTTCAGCAAACAAATCACTGGCTGGAGTCTAAAACTTATTTATGGTACTTTATTCAGGTAAAATTTAAAACAAAGAAATCCAAAAGTCTTAAAGAAACCTCCATTGGACCAGTTTTGACAAATGTAGAAAACTATAAATTTAATTTAAAGGCATACAGACAGAAATAAAAGTCTACTCTAGAGAAAAATAAAATTGTGGCCAGCTGTCGTGGTGTGTGCCTGTAGTCCTGGTACACTGGGAGCCTGAGGTAGGAGTACCTCAAATTCAAGTACAGCTTAGGCAACTTCATAAATCACAAAGGCCCTATCACAAAATACAAGGCTGGGGGTGGAGATCCTGTATCTAATCCCTAGTACCACTAAAACAGTTAGTTAATTAATTAAAATAAAACCAAACTTGTTTGTACAGTCCAGTTAATATGATATATAACATATTAATTTAAAAGTAAGAAATAAGAAAAGTCAATTTGACCAAAACCATGAATTAAAAAAAAACAGCTAACAGGATAAACACTGGACCATATAGGTAATGACAATATCAAAAACTAAGTACATCAAATTTTTAAAAATACAAATTAGCTTACCCCATGGACCTAGGGGCTGCTGGAATCACTGGCCTCACCCCTCTCCTCACTCCTTAGACCTAGGGGTCCAGTGGGATCGCTGGTCTCCCCTCTTACTTGCCCCATAACCTCAGAGACTAGCAGAATTGAAGCCACCCTCCTCTCCTACCCAAAAGACCAAAGCAGCCTACAGACGATTAGTAACTCCTTCCACCACCTACAGAACCTTGGTGGGCTGGTGGAAGCCTCAGCAACCCCTCACCCACACAGAGGACCTCAGTGGGCTTGTGACAGTGTGGTGAGTTTCCCCCACGAATAGAGGACTTCAATGGGTAAACAGGAGCAGCAGTGAGCTCACTCCCAGTTGTAGAACCTTAGTGAGTTTAGCAAGAGTGTGGGTGAGTCTTCTTCCATAGAGAGAACACCAGGTGGGTTGAGAAGAATGCCAACAAGGCCTCCCCCAACCTGGAGGAAATCAAAAAGGCACATGAGACACACAGTGACACAGTAGGGTCCCAGCTGAGGTGCACTCTATAGCCAGGTAGATCTGGCTACCTGGAACAGTCTGAAGTCATAGTAACAACAGGAACTAAGGGTTGACTTATACCAATACTCCTAGGCTAGTTACCTAGGAAGAATGTAGAACTCACCCAACAGGCCTTTTCAGGAGGAATTCAAGTGACTGGCCCCTCCCCTTCATTGCAGGACCCAGTGACTAGACAAACATGCATGAAACAAATTCAAAGCGATATTCAGGAAATAAAAATTTCTATTGAAAGCTGACAAAACTGTTTGAATGAAGTTGAGGGTAGAATTTCAGACCTTGAGGACAGGTTCACAGCTAGCAATCATGAAAGGAAAGAACTTTTAAAAATAGCAAGACAATAAATAAATAAATAAATAAATACATAAATGTAACAAGACAGCATGAAATGACAATTCAATAGCTTCAAGACGATGCAAAGAGAAACAATATAAGGCTAACAGGCATCAATGAAGATGCAGGAGTCAATGCAAATGACATTAGTAAACTATTTGCAAAAGTAATAGCAGAAAATTTCCCAAACATGGGAAAAGAATCAGATATACAGATAAGTGAGGCACACAGAATACCAAACAGTCATAACCAAAATAAATCTATACACAGACATATAATAATAATTAGGATTCCAGAAATCTAGCATAAAAACAATACTAACAGCTATTAGATAAAAGACACAACTCACCTATCAAGGAAAGCCCATTAAAATCATGGCAGACTTTTCAGCACAAACCCTCAAGTCAAGATAAGCTTGGACAAATTGTTTCAAGCCCTGAAAGAAAACAACTTTCAACCTAGATTGATGTACCCTGAAAAACATTCTTTGAAAATTCATGGAGAAATAAGATACTTCCACCACAAAGAACTAAAGACATTCATACCCACCAAACCAAGCCTAGAAAGAGTACTAAAAGACATACTAGATAGAGATAAAAATGACTACAATTTCCAGAACAACAACAGAAAGAAACCACCAGACAAGGCAAGCAATTAAACAAGGGGGAAAAGCAGGAAACCAACAACAGTAAAATAACATGACAAAGCTGAGCCATTGCATATCAGTTACATCCATCAATATAAATGGACTCAATTCACCAATTAAAAGAAATAGGTTGACAAAATGGATCAAGAAACAGGATCCAACAGTATGCTGTATATAGGAAACACATCTGACTCAAAAGGAAATTCACAGACTAAAAGTTCAAGCATGGAAAACAATATTCCATGCAAAATGAAGCCAGAAAAAAGCAGCAGTAGCCACTCTGTTTGCAGACAATGTGAACTTCAAACCAAAAATGATCAAAAGAGATAAAGAAGGTTGCTACACACTTGTTGGTGGAAATATTCAAGAGAAAGAGCTAACAATCATAAATACATATGCACCAAATACAGGAGCATGCAACTATATAAGACAAATACTAATAGACATGAAAAACCAAATATGTAATAACACAATTGTAACAGGGGACCTTAATACCCAACTACCACAAAGAGATAGATCAACTAGACAAAAATGGGCAAAGAAATAACAAAACTGAATCAAACCTGTGAACAAATGGACTTAGTGTATGCTTACAGAGTGTTCCACCCAACCACATTGGAATACATTCTTCTCAGCTATATGGGACATTCTCTAAAATGTATCATATATAAGCCCATAGAACATTTTTAAGTAAATGCAAAGAGACTGAAATTATCCCATGCATATTACTTGACCATAGTGCATTAAAATTGGAAATTAATGGCAAAAGAAACTAAAACCTACATAAACACATGGAAATTAAATAACAACCTCTTGAACAACCAATGGGTTCCAGGTAAAATTACAAAGAAATTAAATAATACCTACAATTCAACGAAAACACAGATACAACATACCAAAACCTGTGGGATGCAATGAAAGCAGTCCTAAGAGGAAAATATATGGCAATGTATTCTCACATCAGGAAAACAGAACAAGCACACAGAAGCAACCTAATGCTGCACAAGCTTCTAGAAAAATAAGAGCAAGTCAAGTCCAAAGCCTATAGAAGAGAGGAAATTGTAAAGATCAGAGCAGAAATTAATGGAATTGAGACTAACAAAAATACAAAAAATTAATGAATCAAAAAGCTGGTTCTTTGAGAGAATAAACAAAATTGATAAGCCTCTAGCCAACCTTATCAAGTAAAAGAAAGAAAAAACTCAAATTCATGCAATAAGGAATGAAAAGGATGAAATTACTACAGATCTCATAGAAATTCAGAAGATCATGAATGCCTACTTTGAAAACCTTTACTCACATGAGCTGGAAAACACAGAGGAAATGGACAGATTTCTAAAAACATATGAATTACCAAAGCTGAATCAAGAAGATATGACAATTTTGAATAACCCAATATCAGCTACTGAAATTGAAAATGTGATTTAAAACGTACCAACAAAGAAAAGCCCTGGTCTTGATGGATTCATGGCTGAATTCTATAAGAAATTTAGAGAAGATTTAATGCCCACACTCCTCTAACTTTTCTATGGAATTGAAAGGAAAGCAATTTTTCCTAACTCATTCTTGGAGGCAAGTATTACTTTGATACCAAAATCAGAGAAGGACCCAACCAAAAAGGCCAATCTCCCTAATGAACATCAATGCAAAAATTCTCAATAAAATACTGGTAAATAGAATGCAGCAAATCATCAAGAAGATTATACATCATGACCAAGTGGATTTATACCAGGAATGCAGGGATAGTTTAACATACACAAGTCAATAAATATAATACACCACATCAACAGAGCCAAAGACAAAAAAATCACATTATCATCTCAATAGACACAGAAAAAGCTTTTAATAAAGTCCAACACTTGTTCATGATAAAAACCTTACAAAAACCTGAACTAGATGGTATCTAGCTCAATCTGATAAAAGTCATCTATGGCAAACCAAAAGCCAACATTATACTACATGGTGAAAAACTGAAAGTTTTCACTCTAAAGCTAGGAATAAGACAAGGATGTCCACCATCACCACTGTTCATCAATATAGTCCTGGAAACACTAGCTAGAGCAATTAGACAAAAGAGAGAAATGAAAGGAAGAAGGATCAGAAAGGAAGAAGTTAAATTATCATTATTTGCAGACGACATGATACTCTACACAGACGATCCCAAAAAACTCTTTTCAAAAGGCTAGTTAATAAGCACATTCATCAATGTAGATGGATACAAAGTCAACACTCAAAAATCAGTAACATTCCTGTACACTAACAGCAACTCACTTAGAGAGAAATTATGGAAATGACACCTTTCACAATAGCATCCAAAACAATGAAATACTTAGGAACCCACCTAATAAAGGTTGTAAAACCTATGTGTTGAAAATTATAGTACTCTTAAAAAGGAGACTGAAGAGAATATCAGAAAGTGGAAAGATCTCCTTTGCCTTTGGTTAGGAAAAACGAACATTGTGAAAATGGTCATACTCCCAAAACTGTTATACATATTTAGTGAAATTCCAATCAAAAGTCATTAACATACCTTACACGTCTACAGAAAACATTCCTAAAATTCATTTGGCAACACACGATACCTAGAGAATAGCAAAGGCAATCCTAGGCAACAAAAGCAAGGCAGGAGGCATCACAATTACACTACAAAGCTACAGTGATAAAACCAGCATGGAACTGGCAAAATAAATAAAATAAATAAACAAAACCTGACCTGAAATCAGTGGAACTGATTAAAAGATGCAGACAGAATTACAAATACACTTATCTACCTTGTCTTTGACAAAAGGGCTAAACACATTCACTGGAAGAAAGACAGCCTCTTTAATAAACAGTGCTGGAAAAATTGGCTTTCCACATGCCGAAGACTGAAACTAGACCTATGTGTATCATCATGCACTAAAGTCAAAATGGATCAAAGATTTAAATATTAAAACAGAAACACTAAATCTACTGGAAGACAAGGTAGATAGAAATTTTGGAGACACAGGGCTAGGCAAAGAGTTCATGAAAAAAACCCGAACTGTACAAGAACTTGAAAGAATCAATAACTGGCTTCTCTTCTTATTAAAAAGTTTTTGTACTTCAAAAGAAATCACCAATACAGTGAAGAAAAAACCCACAGAATGGGAAAGAATTTTAGCTACCTGTCCCTCAAAAAAAGGATTTATTCTAGAACATATAAAGAATTGAAAAACATCAGGCCCCCAAATTCAAAGACCCAATCCAAAAGTGGGCATCTGAAATGAACATGCACTTCTCAGATGAAGAAAATACAAATGGCAAATAAATACATGAAGGCATGCTCAACCTCACTGGACACTTGAGAAATGCAAATTAAAACAACATTGATATTCCATCTCACTCCAGAAAGAATGGCTATCATCAACAAATCAACTGATACCAAATGTTGATGGGGTTGTGGGGAGAAAGGAACCCTTCTCCACTGTGATGGAATATAGACTGATGCAATCTCTGTGAAAATCAATGTAGAGATTCCTCAAAAAACTAGGATTCGAAGTCCCATGGAAGCCAGCTATTCCTCTTCTGGGTATTTTCCCACAAAAATTGAAAATACTGTGTCACAAGAGATATATGTGCACCCATGTTTGTAGCAGCACAATTTGTAATAGCTAAATCTTAGAAACAACCCAAATGCCCATCAACTGCAGAATGGATAAAAAAGATGGGGTATTTGTATGCAATGGAATATTACTCAGCTATAAAAAGGATAATTTTAAGGCTCTATAGGTAAATGGAGGCAACTTGAGACCATACTCATAAGTGAAATGAATCAAATTAACGTTTATAAATATTGTATTGTCTCTCTAGTATAAAAAATAATAAAAAACTAAATTCTGAAAGAGTAATAAGATCCAAGCATGTGGCTTACTTTCTGAATACCTTCATTTAAATTAAAAAAGAAACTGACACGAAGGAAATCAGATGTTTCCTTCTCTACCAATAAAACTTCACACTGACAAGCAAGGGCTAGCAAAGGCTGGGTGGAAGCCAGCAGAGGTATAGCTGTGGCAGGGAACAGAACAGAGCACCTGCACAGCAGCACGCGTGTGAGGCTAGGCAGCACTGCAGGGCTGGCCAGGGGGCCAAAGACTTTCTGTGCATCTTGACTGTTCCCACTGGATGTACTGTGTGCCCTCCCCAGCGTGGTGATTGCATTGGCCTGAGGCACTGTTCAGTGACCTGGAGAACAGCACAGCCCTGGCTATAGGCCATGATGTCCCTAGCTGGAGCTTCAATCTGATCCCGTCGGTCTCCCACCCTCCCAGTGCCTTCCCACCCCTCGACCTCCATGTAGTTCTACTAGAAAAATGCCTCGGCCTCAGCTCCTTTCTTGTGATCCTCCTCCCACTCCCCATCTTTCTGCTGATCATAAATGGTGTTATCGAATGGGTTCAGCGTGGCTTTTGTGTGAGAAGCACCTGGGACCTGTGATGCTAGGTGCCCAAGATGCTGGGCACTCAAGATAGCTTTCTGTCCACCTACCTGAGGCTGGTTTGGTATCGAAACATAAAAGTATTTGTTGAATTTTCCTTCCTTGTGTAAGAATTTTTTCAAAAATAAAACAAACAACAAAATCACAAAAAATACTTTTTGTGGAACACAAAAGTCCATATGATAAATTAAAAGTAGAAGTAGAAGGCTCACTCAGTTATTTAATCCCAGAGTGTGGTGTCTTTCTTGGAGTATTGTGAATAAAAGAATGTGGAAAGACCCCCGGCTCATGCGCAACACAGGCTGTCCCCTAGCGCCCTGGCAGTGCTACAAACTATGGGGGGGGGGGGAGCCATCGTTCTCTCTCCCTCTCTCCCAGGCGCAGTTGAGGTGAGTGAAGATCCTCCTCTGTGCCAAGCCCGTCAGTCACTACATCCCACACTTCCAGGGCTCAGAGCAAGGGTGCAGCAATCAGAAGCTTCCAAAGCCACAAGCCCCAATCAACTTTGTTTCTCTTCATGCTGACCAATCTCAGTAATTTGTTAGAGTAATGAAAAGCTCTCTAATGCAGACATGGACAAACATCTCTTCAATTTCATGTATATGCAACACGTATGCGCGCACGCACACACACACACTCTCTCTCTCTCTCTCTCTCACCTGGCGAAATATTTCATTCACAAAATTGACATAACCACGTGTGGACAGGAGGATCCGCTGCACCATTCCATACACTGTTCGGTGCTCCTCCTCGATGCTGCAGAGGCTGGAGCTGCTGAGCCTCCGCTCAGACAGGGTGCTGCTGTTGGAGTGGTCCATGTCTTGCTCTGAGGGCCGGTTGCCATCCAGTTCTGCCACCCGCTCAGGCGCTGTACCACCACCAACATTCTGCAAGAGGTCACACTTCTGCACTTCTGCTCACGAGCACCTCAAAAGCCTAGGACTTCCCTCTTCTTTGGGTCTTGTGGGGGTTTTTGTTGTTGTTTTTTCTTTTGTGTGGGGATTGAACCTAAGGCCTCCACATGCTGAGTAAGTGCTCACCCAAAAAGCCATACCTGCACCCCAGGTCTGGCCTGTTTTAAAGCACTCTGCCCATCATCAACCTTCCCAAGCTCACTCACAGCCTGTACTCTCCAGGCCTAAACCTGGTCATCAACTCCTTCCCTGGCTCAGTTATTTTCACAGAAAAGCTACAGTCATTTCAGAGAAGGGGACTGTGAAATTAATTACTCCAAAATTTAATTTGCATTTGTGAAATCTCAGTATAAATCAATGTGCAAATACACGTGTGTTACCATCAATGAGATCTCTGCACATCTGCATTTACTCTGGGGTCATGGGGATATAAAAATGTGGAGACCCGAAGGACGCAAAGCCTACGTGGCACCCTGCCATGCAGGTCTCTACTGGTGTTTCATGAGGAGAATCTGGATCTGGGCTTCGTCCTCATTCTCAAGTGAAACTAACCAAAAGGCTTTGGGAGTAAAAGAAATAAAGTAACTGATGCAGTGACTCACAAAGCTTAATGCTGGTCTCTGCTCTCATTTCTCTACACAATTAAGGTTTCTTCAAATAATACATGTAAAATCCTGCTTCCGTTTTACTTTTTAGTGTCAGAAATATATTACACAAGTATCACCATATTTTATCCACTCCGACTATTTTTTACAAGATGTGATAAGATATGGGCAGTACAAAACAGTAATTTTAGTGACCACCAAGACGTTATAAAAACAAAACAGATATCCCATCACAATCCCTAGGGAAAATTAATGGAAGGTCCTACTTGTAATAATGTTCCTACTCTTGCCTTAGTGACTAAGCCTGTGTGGCTTATCAAAGGTGCTGTCACACTGTGAGACATGCTGCCCTGTAGAATCCATTTCATCTCTTTGATGGATCTACTGTCTTCCACAGAAAATGTAAGTGTACTCATTTTATCCTTCTTTATCTGGAGATTCAGCCAAAACAACTGCAGGTTGGGATTAAGTATGGTACAAAAAAGAAGGCCCAGACAGATGTCAAAATCAGGCAAGTCATTCCTACTTCACATATTTAAATTTAAGTGTTACTCCACACAGGATGAGGCTGGATGGTGCTGCAGTGGCTTGTGGCTCAATAACCTGTGACTTCTGGGCTGGCAGCTCCCATTTTCTCTGTGGGAGAAATGAAAACAGCCTGCACATGTGTAGCAAATTAAAGACGGAACCAATTCTCAGGCCTCTTTCTGGAGCAAGGTGTGAAACTGTATCCCAGCCTGAGTGCAGACGCATCTGCACTACTATCATCTGTGCTCTGTGGTCCCTTTCCTCTGCTCTGTGTGGGTTGTGCCTGTTCAGGCCTATGCCCAACAGGCTAATGGTCAGCATTTCCCATGCGAGGCCCACAGCAGCCATGTGATGTGATGGCCTGGAAAGGAGCCCTAGCTGGGCCAGCCTCCTTCCTGACAGCCACTGGAAGAGGGGCACAAGTGAAGCCATCTTGGATCCCCCACCCCAAGGGATGCCAGCTAAAGACCACTACGATGTGACCTCAGATGATGCTGCATGTCACACAACATAAGGAAAGCCAAACCCAATGCTTTCTTTCCTTCTAGGGACCCAATCACAACCTCCTGACCTGATGACCCATTCCCTCCTTCTGATGCCACAGCACACTAGGTAGCAAAAGCCCTACCATCACTGCTGCCTGTGGTCTCTGGAGGGCCTCCAGGTGCTGGTGAAAAGCAAGAAGCCAGACCCCTGTGCTCTGGCTCAGAGGTAGCTATACTCAAATGGAGATGGTGGGGCTACCAGAAACAGCAACAACAAACAACAAAAATGGAGGTGTGAGATGGCTTCACTTGTGCCCCTCTTCCAGTGGCTGTGAGAGGACAGCAAAAAGAGGCAGTGCACACAGCCACCTCTCACAGAAGCCCTTGCTGAGGTCAATGGGTAGTGGCAATGCCAGCAGTGCACAGCCAGTGCTGCTGCCACATACCCTCTGAGGTCAGTGTCACCGACAGGGCAGGGCAGCGATGCCATCTTTAGGATCAGTGGCACCACCTGCCAACCATAATGGAGAAGCAATCGCCTTGAGTAGTGTTAGTGTATGTTAAGTGTTCTGAGATTTACCAAAGAGAAGGAACACATACCTGGATGATTTTAGGCAACACATCAACTCCATTTTTAGTGTTCTGTGTTGCAGTTAAATACTTTTTTTCCAGAAAGAAAGTTACTATCCACTTAATAAAAACCACACGAGCTGCCATGTATGGAATTTTTGTGCTGTAAAAGCTCTCACTATCTCGAGTTGTAGTAACATACAGGGGCTTTGGTCTCCATTGGGGGATGTCTGGGAAAAAACAAGAATAAACAAGTGATTAGGTCAGTGACTCTTAACACTGTGATGCAGCCCAAGCAGTGTTTCAGTTTCCACTGAAGTAAACATACATTGATCCTCTGAATAGCAAACTAAGAAAGAAGACCCAGAAACGTTTACAAAATAGCATCTCTTGGTAGTTTGTTTCTGCTGGACTCATAATGTAACCAAAAAGAGGAGGCTGCCACTGATTACATATAGCTGTGGGAAAACTAGGCCAGCAGCTTTTACATGAAACTGTAACAGTGAAGATCTCTTCATATACACTAATCCTAACTTAACCTTTATTTTATGACTGGAACAAATATAAAAGTATACTTGAAGTTTAAAGAAACATTTTCGGTATCATAATATCTAAAGCTACAATGATTAAATTCACTGAACATTAGTTTTATATCCTTTTCCCTTAAGATGACTCCAAGGAAATAAAATCAACATAGTCTATACTGTCTAGAATTCAGAAGTCATGTTTCATCAGTGAGATCCCAGATGCCACCTTGCCAAAGAATTAGCAAGGAGGTCTATTTTTAATTCCTTAAATTCCACCATCAGTATGAAAACTTCATGGAATTGAGTTTGCAATGTTACCTGCCATACGTCCAACTCTCTATTGTAATTAATTTTTGTATGCCTGGAGTATACAAAATTCTCAATAAATAACTTTTAACTGAGTAATATAACAATTTACTGTGTTTTTAAAATGGATACACTATCTACAAAATCAGAAAAAAAAATTTTAAATATCCACATAATCAGCTTAAAAATATACATTCCAGCAACCTTAAAAGTCAGTACTTCTATATCTTTCAAAATGCATCAGGCATCAGCTATTCTCCTGGCCTCTGTGTGTGTGTCCAAATGTGCATGCATGCGTGTGTAAGCATATGTCTGTATCTGTGCATGTGTGTGCACGTGTGTCCACGTGTGCACAAGCATGTGTCCATGTGTGTGCACATGGGTATGTGCATACATGTGTGTACATCTGTGTGACTGAGTATGCATTTGTGCAGATGCATGCTTGTTTTCATGTGTGCATGTGTGTGCATATACACACTGCAAGGACATCTACTGAATGAGCTGGCCAAGTGACCCAAGTGACTTTGTCCCTTGACCTTTCCCTTCCAAAATGTCCTTAATGTTTCATTTGAACTAATTTTATCTGCTTTAGATAACAGGGAGAAGATTGGGCTCCTACTTTGTTTATATCAACTCTACAGGAGTTCTTCTGCTATGAATCTTCATTTCTTTTTGTTTTAGTCTGAGTTTTTTTGAGGCAGGGTCTCGCTATGCAGTTCAGGGCTAAGTGTGGACTCACTGGATAGCCCAGGCTAGCCTTGAACTTGCAACAATCCTCCTGCCTCAGCTTCCTGAATGCTGGGATTACAGGCATGTGCCACCATGCCCAGAAAATCCTCATTCCCTAGAAAAGGAAAACCTGAAGAGCCAAGTTAGAAATGCCTTTTGTATATGTAAATACAATTATACCAAAACTATGATATATTTTAAGTGATTTCTGAGTATATAAGCCATGGCTTCCTTTTATAAAATGGTGAGATCCATCTCAGTGGACACACAGAATTAAAAGCACCTGCCTTGCAAGCAGGCGGTCCCTTATTAGGGAACATTAGGCCTCTTGCAATACAGCCACCACCAATACAAGAACAAAGTGAGTATCAGACTTTAAAATACTACGAAAGACACCATATGGCTTTCCTGGGGATGTCACCTACATACAGTCTAGACAGTACTTACCAAGTACAGGTTTGTAGATGTTTGTTAACTTAGTAAATGGTGGAAATAAATGAGGAAGATAATACTTTCGAAACAATGTAAAAAGAAATTTAAAACCAGTATCTTGATTTTCCTTATTCTTCCACTCCAAGCTTGCAGCCTTTGGATAATATGTGGAAAAAAACATATGTACATTTATACTTCAAATTAACATATATGAAAATGAAATGCTATTATGATTAAAATTTCTATCCTAAGCTTCTAAAAATGACAAATAATATTGACAATCATATAATAAAATGATATTTTAACAAAGCTCAAAAGATGATAGGAATGGATTTTTCAAAAGGAATATGGTATTGTATATTTTTAAATTTGCTCTACTATATAATGTTTTTCCCATGTTCTTTGTAATGATTAAACATTCCTTGTGTTTTAAAAAAAAATTTAATCAGAAAAAATAAGTTACTTTTTTCTCTTAATTCCAAAAATGCCATTTATAAATAAAGACGAGTGAGAGAAGTCCTCTTCCTCCAGTGTTATTCTTTAAATTGTGGGTCTCAGGCATCATGTCCAGCAATGAGAAAGCTAATATAGGAGGTTCACAGTGAGCATGCAAACCTCTAATCTACATCAATGCCATCTTGCTAGACAGAGGGGACACGTGACTTATGTGGGGTCACACAACTTCTGAGTGCCACATCCAGAGTGGGAACCCACACATTCAAGTTCTGGATGTTCTGGGCTGACTCCTGGGACAAATGGGATGCCCAATCAACTCTGATCTGGCAGCATTGGAGAGGCTGGGGAATAGGAGTAGAGCCTCTACAAGCAGTGGAATTCCCTCAGGGGGCTCTCGGGAATTTGAAGTCCCAATCCTAGTGCTGGCTAAGCAAATGGGGAAAGGCAAGTTTCCCAACAAGACTCAGTAGTCAGAATGAGGCCAAGCACTGAACCTTGGCAGTGAAAAGCATAGCTCCCCAAAGAAAAGTGAAATCTGGAATGGAGAGAGAGAGAGACAGGGAGGGAGGGAAGGAAGGAGGGAGGAGGAAAAAAGTGGGAAGAAGGTAGGGAGGCAGAGAGACACAGAGACACAGAGAAAGACAAAGAGATGGACTAGAAAAAAATCACAAGAAAATCCAACAAAGGAGGCGTGGTCAAGTAAATCACCTCGAAGAATGAGTAGAGCAAAATATGAAGTGTGCCTTCTCCAGACAAACCCCCAGACCCAACATGGCCCAGGGCCTAGTGCAGGAATGCTAGGCAAGGAAGCAGGTATGGCAAAGAGAAGATGGCTTAGGCTTCACCTCAGCTAGGAGGTGAAGGACAGGGAGGAGACCCACCTGACCCCCAAGAGGGTGTGAGGGTTAGACAAGTGTTGGAAGAGCATGCCCTAACTTTGCTGACATTAAGAATTTAGACCCAGTGACAGGAATCACCTGGTAACAACACAAAACAGTGGATTCGGTGTCACATGCAGACACTGATGAACTGAGAGCAGACCATGTGGCCAAGCTGGCTGTGTTCAGGGGTAGAGGCCTGCCTGCCAGCTCCTGGGCCACTTTTCATCGTGGGAAGACAGGGCTGCCTCACCTTGCCCTATCCTGCTGGCAAGGGGCCAGGATGGCATAAAGAAGGAGACGTAGTGTAAGCACACTGGTATAAAACAATGCATGCTTGGTCTTGCCAGTGTGACCTACAAAGGTGCCCACTCTGAGTCTGCACATCACCTGCAATCACCTCAAAGGAAAAATACAGAGACACAGAAGAAAGAAGGCAGCATTTTCCCCTCTCGCCTAGGAGCCAGTCCTTTCCTGAAACAGCTAGCTTTTCCTCTGACCTGAATGACCATATACTTCAACAGTATCTGAAGGAAAAAGCAGGTTTGGTCCTCAGCGGTCTTCTCCCCTGAGATGGCTGGCAGGAGTGGGGCGATTTCTTCTGGATAGATCTTTGCTGCAGGTTAGAAAATAAGAAGAGCTCTTTCACCAAAGTTCAAATTAAACTCAGGGTTTTAAAGAACAGTCTCTGAAGATACAGGGCCACCCCACCGAAGGTCACACCAGCCCCAAGCCAGTGTGTGTGAAAAGCCCAGAGCACCACCGAGGCTCTTGTTGGCTGCCCCTTCCCTTGCAAATCCTGCTTCTGCCAGCTGAGACCAAATGCCAGCTACAACAATAACATGATGTGCAGCAGCAAACCATGGCCCACAGGAGGCTACATGAAGACACAGCCGGGCATACAAATGGCCTGATGAGGCCGCTGTTGTCCTGCTACAAATGCTGCCTGGCCTGAACAGCTGGTAAATAAGGACAGACGCCCACTTCTGAAAGGGGCCACTGAACTGAGGACAGCAGCAGCAGTGCTGATGGCACGCTGACACCTTAGCAGAAGGCACAGAACACTCAGACAGACCATATGCCTGCTTCCTGCTACTCCAAGGTCTGTCCTTCCCTGCCATTCCTGCTTCCAGTACTTTGGTAAATTCCTCCTGCCTTCATTTCATATCAGATAGTTCCCAAGTCTGCAGAGCCCAATGTCTATAAGAATCTAATGGAAATGAAGGGAATAATTCCTCTCCAGACCATACCAGGATTTCTATTTGAGAAAATGGAAATTTCAGGAATTCCTGGCTGAAGGCCGAGAGTGGCTTCCCCATGAGCCCTGTACATGCTGCTTACCGTCAGCTATGCTAGGGCTGGGGTTGATGAGGGTCTCCAGCGTGCAGGGACCCCTAGAGGACAGGACCGCTGGGAAACCAGGCACGAGGCAAGCAAAAATCAGCACCTGCTCTTCTGTACAGTTTGTCTGAAGTGCTTGAAGCCACAAAAGAAACAGCCTGATCCCTTCACATCTTATCTAAAAACAAAATGAAAATGTATTTGTAGAAATGTGCCGTCATGTACACCAGTCTTAATAAAACAAAGGTAGAGGTCAAAGGCACTGAACTACACCAAGTCCTTTCCTCCATGGAGACAGCACAGTGCTGCAGGATACTACAAAGATTAGCGTTCTGGAACCAGTGGGCCTGGGTTCAGGTTCAGCCCCTGCCACTCTCTAGCTGTAACCCACAGGGAACCACTTCACTTCTTGAGGCTTTAGTCTCTCCTTCTAAGGAACTTCTAAGGAAGCAGTTTCTCCCACAAAGGATCCCTACAGCACATGCAAGCCACACCAAGCACTGCCTGGCTCCTGTCATGCGCTGAGTATTTCCTGTTAACAGTGTTTCACTCTGTAACCCTCAGTGCTCAAATAGCCATGAAAGAACAGAGATAATCTTTCTGCAGATTTGCACTGTGCTTTTGATAGAATTTTGGTGGTGTCTCTAACGTGCTTCTGTTTTAAGTATAACGAGACAGCACAGACCTGTCTCAATGAGAAGCAGCATTCCCCACCTCCCTGCCACATGCCCCAAGTCTACACTGCGCCCACTCTGCATGGTCAGCATCACCCGGGAGGAAACATCCACACAGACACATGTCCTTTTTCTCTCTCTGTCCTTACTTCAAACTTCAACTTATTTCTAGAACCCAAAGTACTCCTCTCTCTTTTTCTGTATTCTGAATGGCTGAAAAGATAATGTTTATAAGAGAAGCTATGTCAGCAAAAGAGAATGGAGAATGTGCCCGACACAGCTAAGAGATATGGAAAGCTCCAAACCCAGACAACTGGGAAGTCGCCTCACAGCTTCAGCCAACTCCAGGCAGCAGTGGTTCCTCCGCAACTGGGGCTGCAACAGTAAGCCAGACCCAAGGCTCTGCAGGGAAACCAAATGGCAGAGGACAGGGGGTACACATGCATGTGCACATACATGCATACACATGCATGTGCACATACATGCGTACACATTCATGTGCACACATGTAAGAAAAGCCTTTGACTCCCCAGCTGGCCTGGGGCTACGTCGTTACCTGAGTGGGTGCACAGTGTGCTCCCAGACGTGGTCCTAGACCCCATCACTGCTCGGCACAAACACCACCCAGCCCTGGCCTCCTCTCCTCTAGCAGGAAGACAAGTGCTAATGCTGCGTACCCAACATAATTGCCATCAGACAAAAATGATGCTGCTGCTGCTCTCTATACATAATCAAACAATACTCAACAAGATGAAAGTGTCTACTGAATTCTATCAAAAGTCTTCAACTGCTTATGTTAACTGGATTTAAAATAACTAGATAGAAATAAGGCTAACAATAAATGGAGTAACGACCTAATGGTGTTGTTGGTGTTAATGTTGTTGTTGTTGTTTTGAAGCAGGGTCTCTTGATGTAACTCAGCCTGGCTTGAACTCACTATATGGTCCAGGGTGCTCTGAAGCTTGAGGCAATCCTTCTGCCTCAGCCTCCTGAATTCTGGGATTATAGGTATGCACCACCATGCCTGGTTCTAATGGCATAACTATAAGATTATTAAAAAAAAAAAAGAGGGAAGAACATGGAATCTACAGTGGCTACAGAGGCTAGAGATACACTGCTCCTTTACTCCGTAAGTAGGAGGCAGTTACATATCAAATTTTAAGTGGCTGACAATGCTTAAAGTGAGATAAAACAAAGAATGCATTAGCTTATTAAAGACACAAAATTAGCTACAATGAATGAGGAACATCCCAGCCTGGCTTTCATCTGCCACTCACGTTTAGGGTCACCTTATCCCAACACTGGGTGACATGCATCATTATAAACCATATTCTTGTTTCCAAACAAGCCAATTTTAACCTAGCCCCACTATCAACCTGCACAACTGAAGAAATGCTCAAGGCTGAGGCTCTGCTGCTCTTTTCCCCCACAATGGTTCTCACAATTAACAAACTGCACTCAGAGATGACTGCAATTGTAACCCCCGGAATCATCAGCGCTGACACGTGGAGGGCCACCCTCCCTTTCAGATGAAGGACTGGACCAGCCCCCACCCAGCTTGGGCCCACAGCCTCCCTCAGCAGGAACATGGTGAGAACTCAGTGCCAAGCTCTGGAGCTCAAGCCACTTTCTCCTCCTCCTGAGATGTGCCACAATAACCCACCATGTGAAGACAAAGGCTGCTCACAGTAAGGAGTACAAAATTTCCCAGAAGTTAAAACTAAGTCAAGTGGCTTGAAAGCTATCTTTTAAAGTACATGCTTGCAATGCATGACCATTCCATTCACCTTGGGGAAGGGCGTATACGCTATACCCTGGCTACTTCCGCCCCTGTCCAGACCCCTGCCCAGACCCTTGCCCATCTTGACAGTCCACCTCCTTTCTTCCACACTTTTGGTCTTTTTTTCTATAATGGGATAGATGGATCCTGAGATCATAATGCTAAGTGAAATAAACCAGACACAGAACGTTAAATATTGCATGGTTTCTCTAATGAGAAACCCAAATTATAAATAATTTAAAGAGTAAAATAAAATATCTGTTTTCCCAAAATCACCTTTGTTATTTTGTGGCATTAATAAATTTAGAAATAATGAAAATGTCACTTTTATCTAAAATAAATACCTTTATAGAATTTCCAGTGTGTAGAAGCTTCTTTAAAGTTGAGCCTGAAAATTTAAAACAATGAATTAGACATAAAGTATATGAATATTTGAGATTTTTAAAAGATCAGCTCTAGAAAAAAACTGTACTTTGACGAAAGGTATTAAAAATAAAGGTTACCCTTCAGCAGCAAGCAAAACAATGTCATTCAAGGAAAGACGTTTTTTAAGACAAAAGCACTTCAGCTATGTTCCTCTTCAAAATCCTTTTAACAATCAGAGTGATTCATATTATAGTAACTCAGAGGCCTTCTATATTATGTGAAAATATCTCTTGTCATCATAACATGAAGGATTTTTTTAAATGTTTAAAGGTAAAAACAACATAAAACTGCTGTTCATAAAACACTTTCACAAGAACATTTTACAAATACTCAGGATGGCAGGTTTCTCTCATGCAATGACGAACACATTTCCTGGGCTGGGCCTTGCATAAATCCTCTAGCACAGATAAACTTGGAACTGAACTTTAAGGACCACAGCCAGACTCCGGTGCTCAGCCCCCTACAGTGAGGAAACTCTCTTGGGTCGGAAACAGAGCTGAGTGTTCTGTGTGTGCATTCATGCCTTCCACAGCATCCACCTCACCACCATAGGAGCTGCTAGAACAAGACAGAACCGCAGCAAGGAAGGCACTGGCTAAGCAACCAGGGCCTCCCACGGACCCTTAAGGGCTCTCCCCGAGCCACATCATACCATGCGCCTTAAAACAGAAACATCCTGGGAAGTTCAAGCAAGGGACTTTGCTTCCAGTCAAGTCACATATCTTAAGAGAAAAATAACTTGTATCCCTGATGAAAAATTTTTGCAATACTTAAAAACCAGATGACCATCACATTTACTCTACTAATATATGTGAAAGAGATCAGTCTAATTTTTTTTTGGTGGTTGTTGTTATTGTACTCTTTTTAAGACTGAAAATTTAAAACAATGAATTAGACATAAAGTATATGTCACTATGTAGTTCAGGCTGCTCTGGAGCTCACTTTGCAGCCCAGGCTGGTCTAGTCCTGCCTCAGCCTCCCGAGTGTTGGGATTACAGGCATGTACCACCATGCTCAGTTCAAGAGATCATTCTAAAAGGAGCCAGCATTTCATGGTGACTGATGCAAGGCCTATCCCTAGGGACAGCAACTGTGCATCCCACGGAAGCACCCACACCCACAGCAAAACCCCTGCAGCCTGAGGCCAGTAGTCTAAGTGCCAGGAGGCCACCGTCCACGTAGGGTAGGCTTGTATCTCCTTGCACCTCAAAGATCAGCAGCCCTTTGACTGCTGTGACTCAAAGGATAAATGAATGAGTAAATAAAATGCACTTACATGGACATAGTCCATGAACTTCTAATTTCTGCTGGCTAACTTTTACTATTTTTTCAACATAAATATCCTTTGGGTTTAAGTCTGGCTACTCTCAGAGGCAGCAAGAGTACGAGGGCAGAAATGAAAATGAAAAAAGTCCAAAATTTAATGGACACCAAAAAACTCAGCAACAGAAAAAAACGTTTTAATACAATTTATAATTAATGCCAAAAGCTCATAATGAGCAACACTAAACTTTTAAGTATTATTAGTGTTATGCTGAGCCACACAGAAGGCCTGAGGTAAAACAAAAAATATGTACCTTTGTATACATGTTTTTATGTATTTTAGTGGTTATTTTTCCCAGAACACTGAAATAGTTAAACATATATTTAAAAATTAAAAATCAGGTGCACCAAAATAGCATGAGCTTAAATATTTTATTTATAACGAAGAATGGGTTATAAATTTACTTTTTAGCTTAATGGAAATAAACTCTTCAATAATATTTTCAAAATCTGTTCCTTTGTTCCCATTTGCAGATGTGAGAATGGCCATCTTTGACAATGTTTCTTTGACCAAGTAAAAATCTTTCAAAGATCTTTGAACATATTTTTAAGGCCAGAGTTATAAAGATACTGTTAATCTAATTTAATACTACATAATCTTTTCTTATTTTACTTTTATCTCTGAAAACTGCCTCTCTATAACATGACTCAGAGCAAACAACAAGCCTGGCACTAGCCCACCACGTGGGGCAGGAAGGTGGAGAGCCTCCCTCTGCACCACAGACAGAGGCTAGTGAAGCAAAGGCCCAAGACTCCCTGGTACCGAGATCCACATGTGCACAGCGGAGTGGCAGTCTGCTGAAGGAACTTGAAATTAACTAATAGTTAGCTAAAACATATCAAGAACTCAGATGTGAAATGTGATTATAGAACTGCTAGAAGAAAACATATGACATCTTTAGGACTTCAGGTTAACCACAGTCCAAAAAGGAAAAAGAAAACATTAAATTGGATTTCTTCAGAATGAAAATTTAATCTTTAAATGACATTATTAAGGAAATGGAAAAATAAGACAGGGAGAAAAATATGTCCTAGGCAAATATCTTATAAAAAATCTTGTATGTACAATATGTAAAAAAATTCCCAAAGTTTAATATTAATCAAATAACAATGTTTAAATGTACAGTAGATTTGAGCATACAGGCCACCAAAGAACACATGGAAGGCAAACACATGAAAAAGTGCTCAAGATAATTAATTAATGGTATATTACTGCCACTAAAATTTAAAAACACTGAAAACTGATGGGTTCCACCTGTGTGAAGCACTCACTGCCAGGCTCAGCATGGCACTGGCCCAACATGGTGCTGCAAAGTGCCTCCCTTCAACTCTGACTTGCTCCTCCTTCTTGCAAGCCCGAATATTGAACTTCCAGCTTTCCCTGCATGTGCCAACATCCCCCAATCAGCTGTCAAAACGTCACTCTGCCCACCCCTTCAAACTCTATCCCGTCAAACAGAGTAAAAGCTGGTGACTTCTTTGTCTCAGAGGGATTTTGCACTCTACTGCAGCCTTCCCATGCTGCAATGAAAGCCTTTTTCTTTTTTCCTTTCTTTCCTCAGTGTGGTGGAAAATCATCTTTATATAAGTCAGCCATTCTATCCCCAAGAGATGGGAAAGCATACATGCACACAGACTTGTGCACAAATACTTACAGTAGCTTTATTTTGAACAAATACTAAAAATAACCCAAATGTCTGTCAATGAGCAGATGAATAAACAAATTACAGCAAAACCATACAATGGAATATGTATTGTTCAGAAATTTACAAAAGAATGAACTACTAAAATATGTAACAAAGTAATCTCAAAATAATTACACCAAGTGAAAGGTGCCAAACAAACAAAAAAAGAGCATCCACTGGGTGACTGTACTTATATAAGACCCCAGAACCTGAAAGCTAGCCTGCAATGGCAAACAGCCTCCAACAGCTGCCTGGAGACGGGGCAATGAGGGGAAAGGAAAGGAGGATTACTAGGGTTGGGAAACTTTCAGGGTAGATGCGTGTGATCGTTATCCTAATAATAGCAGTGATGTCATGGATATATACTTACATCGAAACTTTTCAGGATATGCATTTTTGACATACTCAATTTACTGAGTATTCATTTTGATCCCAACAAAACTGTTTAAAAATAAGGTAAAACAGGGCAGGTGGCCTGGAAGTGAGTTTGAGTGAAGGATGAGGAGGATGGTGGTTATGCTGAGACAGAGATCTACTCAATGACATGAGTCAGCAAGTGCAACAGGCTAATGGATAACTTGGCATGAAGGAAAAGGACTAGGGGAAAACAAAGCCATGGGAAGTAAAAGGGCAAGTGAGGGGAGATTGAAAGACTTGGTGGCAACAAGAAGGAAGACAGTGATGGGCAGAGTCTGGAGAGAGATTTCCATAGAGCAGGTGGTGGTTAATGTCGGGATTTGGCATGCAACAGATCACCAACCACGGTCTCACCACTCTACTCCTGGGAGAGATAGAGGACCCTCAGGAGAAGCCAGGTTTCAGAAGGCCAATGAGGCAAGAGGGAGAGGCTAAGGCTGGAAGGCTTCCTCCAGCAGGGGGAGCAGCCCACACCCCTGCAGTGTCGTGAGTTCCTGCCAACGCTGATGAACCTGAAGGCATGGGAGCCCTGGGCTCAGCGCAGCCCAGCTGGGATGCATTCCTGTAGGGTCCTGGTGTCAAGAGCATGGGCCCAACTTTGAGGGAATCAGGGAAGGCTGCTGGGCTCAGACATGGAGGAAAGGGCAGGATCCCGGAGAAATGACACTGTGTTCACATCACAGGTGATGTGCGGTCACACTCTCAAAAAGCCAAAAACAAATTTCAGCTTAGTAATACACTTGTTTTTACACTCTGTAAAGAGAAACCAGGTCGAATAAACCAGTAACCACCATATATTTAAAAAAAAAAAAAAAACATACAGAAGTACTCAGATGTGTGAGTTTTCTACTGGACTCATGCCTCTAAGTCCTAAGGGGTTTATTTTTAGGGTTATTTATTTTTAAACATTACTGCTATAAAATATCTCTAGTGCAACATATGTTCTCTCCCCCACTCAAGAAATACGACCAAGTTCAGACACAGGACTATACATTAAACAAGGCAAGAAGCCTTCCTAGAGGAGCAGTAAACCCTTTAGAAATGGACAGCTGGGAGGTCAGAACCAGACCTCAACAGGAGTTGATCCCCTCCTGAAAACTGTATAATTTTCATTGTTTTCTTGGGTTCGTTTTTATTCTCTTTTGTTTGGTTTAATTCTGATGGCATGAGCAGCTATTTAAAAGACAGAAAGATATATGGTAGCCATTTTGGATTTACTATTAGCTTGTTTTGAAGTCCTTTATTGCATTCATTGTTTTTTTATTGTTTGTTTTATCATTTTATCTATTTATCTATTCTGTTCTGTTTGATTTTTACTATGTCCAAAGGTATCTGCAGGTATACTGAAGACAACAAGAGGTGTTATGGTAATTATTGCTGATTTCGTAAGGTTTTGAAGTCCTGTATCACTTATATGAGTTTATCTTAAGTGGTTTTATTATTTTATTTTCCTAGGTTTTATCCTCTTTAAAATAAAATAGAAAGAAAGAAAGAAAGAAAGAAAGAAAGAAAGAAAGAAAGAAAGAAAAAGAAAGAA